CGACCGTCGAGCATAGTTCATCAGCAACCTCACCCTCAAGCCCACGCGCAGCACCAAGGCCACCACTCGCTGCCGCCGCCGCCGCAACACCAACAGAGTGCGTACTCGTCGACTCACTCCCTACCACAAGCCTATCAAGCCGGCAGCCAGACAGCCGGCACGCAAGACAACCTGGGTTACTACAGCCATCCGAGTCCCTACAGCACCCCAGGTGCTAACAGCGGATACACTTCCGCCGGTACGTTGCTTGCATATTTCCTGCACCTTTTTGCTTCACTGGAGTCTATCACCAGAAAACACAACCAACAACAAAGCCCACAAACTATCGCATTCACGCACAAGACTGACATGAGCCCGCCTGAAATGTATAGACACTCCCGACATGATGGCCGCCGCCCAAATGCCTCGACCTCCCTACCCCCCAATGTCATATCATACGCCGCAATCCAACTCCCCAGCATCTGTCGCATCCCCCTCGCAACATGATCAGCACAGAAGTCTGTACGGCCAGCCGCCGTCGCAGCATCTTCAGCAGTCCATGTACTACCAACCGCAGTCGCATTACCAGCCAATGCCTCATCATCCCAGTGCGTCGCCTTATGCACAACACGCACAACATCCTCATCACCCGCAGCAATCCATGACATCTCAGCCCAACATGATGATGTCGCACTCGGCTCCTCAGAACCAGATGACGCAGCACGCAGCCCAGCACGCGCAGGCCGGCATGACGGGAAGCCCCAGACCAAAGATTGAACCGCAGGTTCCCGTTCAACTCCAGAAGCAGGCACAGACTTCACCCATGCCGCAGGCCCAGCATCCGTCAAACGCACCGCAGTTACAAAGCCCCGGAAATGCTGCGCCGGGCGTCAATCCTAATGCTGCACCAGGGCCCATTCCCGCGACTACTCCGCTGGTTGTGAGACAGGACGGCAATGGCGTTCAGTGGATTGCGTTTGAATACTCGCGAGACCGGGTCAAGATGGAATACACCATTCGATGTGACGTTGAGTCAGTCAACACAGACGAGCTGTCTCCCGAATTTAAACAGGAGAACTGCGTCTACCCTCGAGCTTGTTGTCCTAAGGACCAGTACCGTGGAAATCGGTTAATGTACGAGACTGACTGCAACCGTGTTGGGTGGGCTTTGGCGCAGCTCAACCCCCCGCTGCGTGGCAAGCGAGGCTTAATCCAAAGAGCAGTTGATAGCTGGCGAAATAGCAACCAGGACCCGCGCCTTCGAAGTCGACGAGTTCGCCGTATGGCCAAGATGAACAATCGCAAGCAGGTTCAGGGAACACCCACGCCTCACCCAGGTGCATCTCATCTTCCTGGACCCGGCGGGCCATCAGGGATGCCAGCGGCACCCGCTCCCATGGGACATGGGGCGCCACCCATGGGCAAGCCTGGGATGGGCAGCATGGGGCAGCCTTTGCATCATCACGCTGGGGCTCATGACGGGAGTGCCCCAGGTGGAGGAGATGAAGTCGGTATGTTCCACCAGATGTAATTTCAGCCAGAACCCTCGCATCTGCTGCCTTTGCACTGCTTGTTTTGCCTCTTAGCACCACAACTGCACTGTACGGGCTTGCCCGACTCATCGTTGCGTTGATTTGTCCATGATACCAACTCCTTCTACTCGTCATCTATTGCTGCAAAAAAAGTTCTTTGCGCTTTCGACAAAATGTGAGCCCTCGTGGGCAGATTTCCTTAATCGTGTCTCGACCGTCTGTGTTGCGCGACAAACATGTCTCTCTTGTCATTTTCTTCGCCAATTTTTCTTCTGGGAACGGATTTGTAACATTTTCTACTGTCGTCTCCTGCTACTTCTCTTTTCTTTTGCTCTTTCATTTGTCATATATATGTAGCATGACGGTCTTTGATGTCGGCCGGAGTTGCCTCACGACCCGAATGCGCTGAGTGTGGAAAGAGAAGCTGTCCTCATTTATAGGATCTTTTTTTCTCTTTGAGACCAAGACACCGAAAATTTCCTGTACATTATCATAGTCGCATGAAGTTGCGCTGCTGTCCAAGCTCCTGCATCATGGCTGCTGCTTGTTTTATGCGACTCTTAGACGAGCTCAATTTGTGCCTGTTTTTGGCTATAAAAGTTATTCCTGTGCAGGCAGTCATTATGCCACCAAAAACATTGTTTTATGAGACAAAGAAGAAGAATGAGAAACAAAGAGAGGCGAAAAAACAAAAAGAAAAAAAAACCCATCTTTGTTTTGTCGTCGATATCGATTCGCATGTTGTCCCTGCCTCATTTCCAAGACATTTTTCGTCTCACTCAACCACGATAGAGAGCTTTGGGCTAACTGAGATTAATGAGGCCACGGCACTGCTTACGAAGATCAACACCATCATCACCCAGATGCCACCGGCCAGGGCCATCACGGCGGAGATGATGTGAGACCTGCCCACGTCTTCACTGGTTATGTTGGTCAAGGCTACCCTGGCAGTGCTCAAGGCGGGCCAATGTCTCACATGGCTCCTCGAGCAGGTGGCAATGCCATGCCCGCGCGATCGCATAGTCGGGGTAATGTCGATGAACCGGAGGGCCTCTTCCCTGACGTTCCCGAGGCGAAGAAGCGAAAGTTCATTCTTGTGGATGATAACATGCGGGGCTCCAGGCTCCGAGTTCGAGTTACTCTCGACGGCGTGGACACCAATGAGATTCCTGACAGCTTCCGAAAAGGCGCCAGCGTGTTCCCTCGAAGTTACTTTCCACGTGAAATGCAAAGTCCTCCCCCAAGCGCGACCGGTTCTCAATTCTTCACCGAAGACTTGTCCGATGATGGAATCCAGGAGACCGAAGGCCGGGAGCTTGGTCGGCGGGGAACGACAACGTCAAGCAGCCAAGCCGTCAAGGTGAGCATGGCCGAGGGCCAGGATGGCGAGGTCGATGTGCCAAGGATGAGGAAGTCGTATCGCGGGAAGGAGGTAAAGTTGAACGACTTGGGTTATCGCATGGCATGGCTTCAGAGCCGCGTGTTTGCAGGCCGGACTGTGTTTCTGCAGCGAGCTCGTGAGTATTCCTTGACCTACAAGGCTGGATGCTGGGGTTGCGACGGAATGCATGTCACTAACAACTTTGCCTCAATAGTGGACACATACCGAGGTAAAATAAAAACCGCCATTGAAGGCACAATGCAGGACGTTACAACCATAGCACCTCATTATGAGACGCGGGCCGGCAAGCGACGATGGAACGATAGAAGACGACGTGGAGATTCCAGCAACGATGAATGATTTCGCACTTGATTAATCGTCTGTCATTGCGCCATTTACTGTTGGACTCTACTCTTTTTTTTTTCTTCTTTTTTTTTTTGGTTGCTGCTTGACACGCGCACAAGCTCATTTCTTTCTTGGTTTAGACAAACACCCATTGTTTTTTCGCACATGTAGCCAGCCTGTGCGCGTTTGTTTGGCTATTGTGGTTCCCCCCCATTGTTGATGCTTTGCTTGGCATTCGTCGCCTTGGCATGGAATCCAACCATGTCAATATAGACGATGCAATGTTCTGCGATTCTCAAATCAGAAGCGCAACGAAAAGTCGCATTGTTCCCCCTTCCCCCCTCACCATTAGGGCAAAATTCTTCATGGCGGCTACTGCTGGACTCTTCTTGCCTGCCTGCCTTGAGCGAAACAATTGTCTATTCTTTTATAGTTGATACTATACATAGTGGGATATTTTATTGTGTACATGGACTGGCTATCTGGATATGAGAGTGGACCCATTGAAAACAAAAAGAAAACAAAAAGGGGGATGTATATATGCCGGCAGAATTTGTGTACTGGGAGTCTGGGACAGCCAGGACGCTTTGCCGGTGCTGAAACATTGATATCAGTATTTTATAATAAAGTGAATACCTATGGCGAGATGTTCGGATATGCGGATCACAGGTGCAACGTGAAGACAACATGGGCCCTTTGCGGCCTGAATAGCTGAGCTGGGCTGCTGCATTGTGCTATTGAATACGAGACGTTTGTATGTATGTATTCAGGAACATATTCGGTACGTAGCTGAAATAGCCCACATAGAATTGCAGCTGAAAACGTGGTGGCAGCGGTGCCACTCACCCCCTTGCCCTGCCTGCAAGCAAGCATGGATGAACCTCGCGGGCTGTGGCAGATGCAGCAAGGCCAGGTCTGGTCAGGCGAGGTATTCCGCGGCAGCTGAAAGGCAGTCGTAACTCGAGGATGATTCTGACGGTACACAAACAAGCAGGTGGTGAATGAATCGGCCGGTGGACATCAACAGGGCACTCCGTTTATGAAGACCAGGACAGATGACATGTATACTCGATGCTCCATACATGGGACGAGCTTGGTACAAGTACATAGATACATACATAGTACATATGTACATACATACGGGAGGATCGCGATGCATGGGTTGGACGACCAGGGAATGACACCCTGCCCGCAGTTCGCACAAGGCTGCGATCCCAGACCCAAGACAAGGGGCCAGGATCATATCGGATCGGTGCAACTGCAGCAGCCAAAAAAAATCCAAAAAAAATCTGGGGATGGACGAGTGCGGAAGAATCCAGGGCTGAGGCGACGAGGCGACGAGGGTCCAGGTCCATCGTTGACACTTGCCGACGGCACTAGCGCGGCTGAGATGCGACCTTGAGCAATACAAATACGTTTGATGGCGCCAGTCTCGTCTGCTGCGCCTGCTCAACCGCCTACTGGGTAGATGGATACCCATGCATCTGCCCAACGTCAGGTAACGCCTGGGATACGCGACGACATTTTCCAACGTCCCGCGAGGCCCGAGGATGCACCAAGGGGCGAAGGCGCGGACAGGCACGCCGAGGAGCTGGATTTGACTCGTTTTGCAGCCCAAGCGTCGAAGCCGACGTCGCCGCCACCGCCAGGCAGAAAAACCATGCTCGGCTTGGTCAAAGGGGGGGAGAAAAACGAACGTCAACCATTGAAATAATCTGCGAGTGTAACAGCCGAAAACAAAGGACGGGGTTGACCTGCCAGAGATGGCTCGCCACCGCGCCAGAGAAAGCTACCCGCCGCCGCTGTGCGTCGCCGAGCTCGACACGGCGCCTGTCCAGGGCTCAGTCGCTTCGCCCGGGGGTGGGCTCGCCTTTGAAATGCCGGCAGAGTCGGCGCCGGCACGGGTGGTGAGGGACGAGCCGGGGCGGAGGCCGGCGAGGGCGACTGAGGTGGACGGGAATGCGCAGGCGAACCCGTGGCCGTTTTACCTGGATCAAGAGGTCGGGACGGCTGGCGGCGGTGCACCCAGGGAGGAGGACGCAAAGGAGGGCGAGGTGGAACAGGCGAATCCGTGGCCGTATCATGGCCCTGCGTCGGGCGACGACGCACCCAGCGCGACGGTATACCCGCAGGTTCGGCAGCAGCAAGGGCCCCGGAGGACGGAGTCTCTACATGGCTCGGGCAGCGGCTCTGATGAAGCGGCTTTGCAGGAGTCGCTGAAGCATCCTGGGCAGACGGCGTCTCCGTATCCAGCTCCTCTACGGGTCTCCCGCCCGAGCAGCACGTCAACAGCCTCCCCTCCGCCTGGCATCAAGCCGTACTGTCCGCCGCCTGGAAGAGACGATGTTTCTGCGGTCGGACTAGGCGGTCCGTCATCCGGGGCACCGCCGAAACCACCGATCCAAGGTCCTCAGTCTGCTGGCGTGCCGTACCGGCCGTACCGGCCACCGAGCATATCATCTGCCTCGGGGGCTACGACAGCCCAGTCCTCGAGTGTGATGGGCACGGCACCACATCACTTTTATACGCCGTTCAGCTCTGATGCCGAGCCGATGAGTCCCCCGAAGCAGCGGCCAGATGCTGTGCCGGACACAGAGGATAAGGCTCCCGGACAGAGTCCCTCTATCAAGCCGTACTCACCTCCACCACCACCACCACCACCGAAGGACGATTCTCCTGCCGCGTCGACATACAGTCTAGCACAAGATGCAGCGCCCACACCAGCAACGACGCCCTCTCAGCCGCAATCACCACCTCCTGTAGCCATGGCACACGCTCAAGCACCGCTGGCTCAGCCATCGCCCAGCGTGACACCCGTTTCGCCGCATCACACGGCTTCACCGGGAATGCCACCTTCCCCGGCGTCATCTTACGACATCCAGCAATCTACATATGTGCCATCGCCGTCATTATCGCCACTGCCGCACCAACCAAGACCGCAAGTCGCCCATTCACGCACAGATTCATGGCACACTGGGTACACGCCCGTCTCTCCTCCGCCCGCGTATCCGTATCCCGGGCCAGAAGGACCAGACTCCTGGCCAACAACACCCCAAGGTCAGCAGCAACAACAACACCAATATCCCGCATACTCACCGCCTCCACCGTCGTACCCGTACCCCGGACAAGGAGGCCGACCAGACTCCCAGCCGACGCCCCAAAGCCAACAGCATCCCCCGTACTCGCCACCTCCGCCATCTCCCTACCCCCCTCAACCGATATACGCAGCAAACACAGGCCAGCAAAACCCGCCGCTTCCAGGGGGGAAGCCTCCGCCGCCTCTGCCTCCGCGGCGACCAAACGTCTCGTACGGCGGGTTCGGCGGCGGGCCCTCCAACGCGGCCAACTTCCCGCCGCCGCCGAAAACCCACTACAACCCGGTGCCGCCGCCGTACCCGCCTCGTCCCCTGGGCAGCGGCACGTCGAGCACGTCCCTGTTCAGCGCGAGCTCCGCGAGGAAGTGGCTCGATAAGACGAGCCAGGTGCTCGAGAGCAAGCTCGAGTCTGTCCTCCAGGGTCCCCAGGGGCCCCCTTACCGACCGGCATACGCGCCGGGCCCGCCTCCGCAGGCCTATTCTCACGGACCGCAGACAAGAGGGGTGCCGCCGGGGGGATATGGCTACGGTCCCGGGCCCTGGGGACCGGGGGGGCCTGCGCCGCGTCCTCCGCCTCCGGGGTGGAGGGGGCCGCCGTAGAGACCCCGAAGTTGCTGTGTTAGCGTGGCGTTTTGGATTCGTTGGTTCTTTGAGGGGTCGTGTATTTATCTATGGTGGTCGTGGTGGGGTTCTAGTGCCATTTGGATAGGGGATATTGGCCTAGTCTTGGGAGCTATGTGCAGCGTAAATCAAGGACGTTCTTGAATGGTTTGAGCTGCCTGTATTGAATTTTTAAAGACTTAGCATAGATATTCCACTGTGATGGGTCGACGTACGTTCTCGTGTCTTCTGATATATGGTGTTGCAACGTGACTACATTCGGCGTTGGACTGAAGATTCTTTTTAGATTTCTTTTCGTCTCTACACCACGCCGTACAAATGGCTGTGTGTGGTTGAGACTTGCGTACTGCCATTGCTGCTGGTGTCTTTTCTTGGTGCAGATGGGCTGGCAAGGTTTTGTGAAAGTATCTACTTAGGCCCGCGGGATGGATGACAATTGGCGCGGAGGATTCTGATGGATGATCATTTCTTTATACTGTGAGTGAGCGAGTGGGTGGTTTGGATGGGCACGCCCGGCAAATCAATTTTCGGGGCTGACATGTTGTAATTGGCGTCAATGGGAAAGGTGTGCCTTTTTTTGGGAGCTGATTCAACATGAGCCGCCGTTTAGCTAGCTATCAGTCGTAAATTCGTCATTGTTGCGGCCAAAGTTAGACGGCCGGTAACGCGGTGGATTGGCACCGATTGATGACGGATGACATCTGGAGTCAAAAGCTGAATTGGGCTGACATGGCTTGGGCTGACATGGCTTGGGCTGACAGTGGCGTTTTGTTGCAGGAGTCGAATCCGTGGCGCAGGGGAAGCGGCCACCCACGTGCTGTTGAGAAGCACGCGAGGTACATGTCCAGTACTTGCAAAAGCTACCGCCCCAGAACTTCAACCAGATCGACATCACCAGACCCCTTTTTTTGTCCTGTTTGCTGGCTACTGCCAGTTGGCAGTTGTCATTTGATCCCGTTCATCTGCAACCACGCACGATGCTTGCACCAGGTTGCGCAAGACTACCCAGCTGAGGATGATGCCATTTATTGCACTTGGCATGATCAAGGCGTAGTGGTCGTGACTTACTTACTGCCTACTTGTCTAGCCTCTATCGCGGATTGCTAGGTCAAGATGGAACTGAGTTTGGCTGCTTGCAGCCCGTCATCCACTTCGAATAAACATCAGAGTAAAGAAGGAAACGCCACTTTGGCAGATGTACATGCCGTCGATGACCAAGTTGACCAGGTTCCGTTGGAATACTGCCCACCAACAGAACAGCAAATCGAGGGCGCTATCCAGCAGTTTATCGATTCAATAAATCTAGATGCCGTCTGTGATCTGGCATCTAAACACAATGGCGGAAAGACGTGCAAAATTATCACCAAAGACAATGGCAGCTTTAATGTCTGTTTCTTTGTTCGTTTTGATGCCGACAGCAAAACACAGGTCATAAGGATTCCAATTGAACCAGTGGTTCGCCATGCCTGGCAAAAAGTCCTCTCCGAAGTTACTACGCTACGGTGAGCAAAACCCCTTTCCATCTCTGCGCCATCAATTCTTCGACAACTGACTGTGCCGCATAGGTATATTAAGGACAATACAACGATTCCCATTCCTCAAGTCCTCACATACGGCATCCACGATGAAATCATTCAAGGTGCTAAAACGCCTTTCATAATCATGGACCTTATCCCCGGGCAGAAACTTCATACAAAGACGTTCTTATGCGCAACGAAAGCACAGCGGCAGCGGCTATATACCGACCTTATAGATATATTATCACAGCTACGTAAACTCGAGTTTCCTGCTAGCGGCTCGCTGATGCCGAACCCAGAAGACGACAAATGCAGTCCCATTCTTGGCCCATTCCTTTCCATCACTGCAAACGAGTTTGAAAGGAGTAGCGGGAGGTCCTTGCCGCAGGAGGTTTTCACATCGTTGGGGCGTTTTGTGGATTACCACCATAGCATCTTGACAGAAACGTACCAACTTCCCGTGGAGAACTTGTCTTACAGGGATGCCAAGACGGAACTCTTCGCACTTGACAGTTTATCCAAAGAAATTTCTAAATGCATTGGCTCGATGCCGACCAGTCCTTCATTCGTGTTGGCACATCCAGACCTACGATTCGGCAATATATTTGTTGACGATGACTTCCAACATCCTCGGCATCATAGACTGGGAATTCACAAGCACAATCCCACTCCAATTGTTCACACCGCCGCCGTGGGTTACCGGTCACGACCCCGATACACTGCGGGCTATGCGTGGACTTGTGCGTGGCCCCTTTCGTGATGAGATTTTTGCCGAGTTCCGCGACGTTCTGCAAAATAAGCGCGAAACATGCAGTATTTCGGAAAAGTTATGGCACGAGTGGGGATATCAACAGGGACAGGCTGGACAAGAAGAGACCCCCATTCAAAGACTCCCAACTATTGCCCAGATATTACGTCACCCTTCCAGTCTCATGGGCGTATATTGTTCGTCTCTCTTCCACATACTTTTCGGGCCGCTTGCGAAAAGAGATGAAGAGATTGGCAAGTTTTTTGACCATCCAGACAATGTGAGTCTCGTGAAGCAGGTTGAGCTTCAAATTGAGAAATCCAAGCGCTATACGCAATATCTAGAAGACAGAGGCCTTCTTGTTGAGGACGTCCAGAGTCAGCAAATTCGGGAGTATCTTGCCAATACTAAACATTTACTTACTCCATAGATAAGCAACGTTCACCGTTTACTAGTTAAGTCGCCCTTTGATTTCTTCCGCCTGCCCCTCTAAATCGACCATTCTCCCCCACAGTCTGGCTTTCCTTCGTTCGCTCTCAAACAGCTTCTGTCTTGAAGCCACCACAGCGCTGTTCATGTCTTCAACGTCAGTCTTGTCTCAACGCCTTTGTGAGCTGGAAGCGGTTCTAGTCATCAAGTATAGGCCGTTCCTAACAGGGTCGATTTGGAATGCGGACGAGACCTTGCAGATATACTGCGTGTGTGGGCATTTCAGGTTTTCGGGGTGACTCCGCGTGAGTCACTAGCACAAAGTCAATAGGTTTGAGCTACAACATACAAGGATTACTTCTATAATAAAAGTGGCTAAGGCTATCGCGAGATGGTTTTGGCTAGCGGGCCGCGACGCAGCACTAATTGCGCTGGTATATCTGACGCGTTATAATGCGCGTATAGACGGTTTATTTCTCTCGTCTCTTACTATTCTTGGCTTGGTATAGCCTAATAATGTGTTATCAGATATTGCGCTTGCACGATCCTTGTATCATGCTTGTAATCTCATTTGACTTGGGAGGGAAACAAAAAAAAGCTAATAGGTCGTTCCTAGAGGCGCCTTCAATTGCACTGGGCAACCTTATTGTCTCTTCGTCCTCCTTGTCAATGTCACGCATGGTCTCGCCGAGACGTTTCTGGACCTCTTCAAGTCCCTATACTACATCGTATGCGTGTATACTTGTTGGTTCGCAAATCTGTTCTTCCGCAGACTGTATATCAGAGCAGAGCAGTAGCGGTGAACCATCGCCGATGATGACAACCATCCAGCATTTGACAACAGGCTCCTATGCAGCCTGACAATAATACGACTAATATTCAGTTTTTTTTTCTTCGTACACCAATATGATTACACCTCATGGCGACCTACAAAAGATGAAAAGTTGAGAATTAACAAGGTCAATAGCCCAATACTATGTTATCAGATTTTACGCTTGCATGATACTCGTATCATGCTTGTAATTTCACTTAACTAATGAGCGAAACAATTCAAGCGTTAATAAGGTTAATAGAGCGAAGGAACGATTTGTTACGATGAGGACAGAATATAGGCGTTAGGTTCTGGCGGCGTTCTTTTAGATTCAATGTTTCTTCCAACGTATTTTTAGCGGGGGGAGTGGGCCGCGGGGGCGATGCCTTCCGTACCCAGGCCGCAACATTGAACGGACCGACCTTGACAGCGACTTGGCTGGCTTACGCCGAAGCACAATCGGTGCATGAACAAAAGAAATGACTAGGAGGTGCTCATCTAAGAACGGGGGAAGTCCCGTGCGGACGTAGCAAATATCCTTTGTTCTGCATTTAGACGGGCGCGGGGCGCTACATCAAGTGCTTCTATTCTGACGTCTGGAAAAAGCCAGAGATTGCCAAGGCGCCCCTTGCAATGCGCGGACTGGGTCTTGGGCCGATCGATCTGCCGACATAGGACGCGGGTAGCCAGAGTAGGGGTGAAGTTTATTTGGGCTGTCATCACGGTTGGGAAATGCAATAGCCGGGGACTTGGCCAGATTGGAGGCACGACGACCGCGTGCCCGGGATATTTATGACAAGTGCATGTGGAAATGTAGCTTGTGCAGCAGCCAGCGGTTGGTACTTAGACAGACTCTGGTGACGTGCATGCGGAGCAATGGCCGCGATTTTTGCGATTCGGAGAATCGTAGGTCAGGCTCTCCCCTTTATGCCCGTATTGGTGGGCAACGACTCGGCGGCAAACCCGACATTGCTGCCACGCTCCCATTTACAACGCCAGTGGCGACGTATTCTTCACAATACCTCTGCTGGCCTCCATTATTAATTAATTTGGTGGCAAAAATGGAGGACCCGTTGATGGTGGACTCGAAGATCAGGATTATTACTACGTACTTGGCGAGTGTGCCCCTCGGACTGACTTGTATTATGGCGTCGGAATCAGACATGAAGTCTTGGCGGTTTGGTGCGCAAGTTCCGAATACTATTCCATGCATTACATACATAATACGTACATCTCGGTCGGGAGGTGGGAGGGCATTCGCGGAATGCACCAAAGGGCGTGGGGCGATAAACGACGATGGGTTGATTTGCAATCCGGTGTCAGCACTCGCGGAGATGGATGGCAGGGACGAATGCTCAACTCGTGGTATCAAACCAAATAGCTGAGCACTCCGTGCTGCCAAGCACAGCTGCCTGACTGCCACATTACAGCACGTATACTCCATATATGTATGTATTTATATGTGCGGCCAAGGCAAATGTCGGAGTCTGTTGATGACAGTTGTTACTCGGTAATGCGAGTAAGATTGTCGTTGCACAAGCGGCATGAAGCGCGAGAGAAGGGCTGCCTTCAAGCCGGGCCATCCAGGAGTCGCCTGATATCGCGTGCCCAACGTCATGCCCTCAAAGGTTCCGTCGACTTGAGAAGGCAAAGTTGCATTGATGGCTCCTCCTTGGCCATTTGGCTTCAAGCTTCAAATTGACGCCAACTTTATCTCTGCAGCTTCTCATGCGTCCCCCTAGGGCATCAACCGACTTGTATTTCACGTGTGTCGCATCTAGAAAATCCCTGTGTCAAGGATAGCCGCGTAACCCGGCATCTTTGAATCTTGCAACTCGCTGATAATATTATATGTCGCAGCCTGGTGGAGACGAGGGCACGCCTGGATCGTACTGAAGATATTACGGGAGGCAGTCAGGCCGGGAGGGCGCCGCCCAAACCATCCCCGTCGCCGCTCGTAGTCGAGTTCTCAACTTGAGCCCCATTTCCGTTTTGGAAATGTTTGCTGAACCGCCTGGAACGGACGGACAGGTCGGCGGATGGACCAACTTGGACAGCCACGCCGTCCGCGGGCGCCAAAAATCGTCATCATTATCATGGACCGGTGACACTCGACCAACCATCTCGACCGTGGACTAGCGAGAGGGGCTTGGGGTGACAGCGACCATGAAAGGAGCGGCCGCCACACGCCCTGTTAAAAAGGCGAGCGATCCTTGGTTGTGCTCCAGGGCGCGGGAGACGCGGCAGAGGAATTGAACATCGTCATGCCCCAAGTGGTTGAGCAATGTATCTTGACAACCGGCTGCAGTCCAACGCCGACTGACCCGACAACTTGACTAGACGTTCAACAGACATCTCATGTTGTGACTCGGTAGTCTGAAGGGCGTCCTTATTGTACATATGTGCATACATGCGGAGCACCGAGTATGCACACAGCATTATCACAATGTCGCAGAAAAACGGGCAAGGGAGCAGATGATCCGCGATCCACACTTGGGCTGCTACACACGCCTTGCCTTCTTGGCGATTTCAAAGACGGTCGTGGTTGAACTTCTGGGGAACTGCCCAACATGAGGAGGACTGAGGGCTCGGGCACAGACGTGAACCTGAAGACGAGTCATTGGCTTGACGTGTTTGAAGCTCCTGACGAACCCCAAGACAGACTAATACCATTCCGCCCGAGTAATTGAGCCTGCCATTTGATGATTTCGCTTGGAGCTGATGCTGGTGCTGATGCTGGTGCTGATGCTGGTGCTGATGCTGATGCTGACGATGACAATTGTTGGGCATTGGCTTGGTCGTGTCAGCCCAGGCGGCTGGCCGTCTCCCGTCGCCTCCAAGGTCGTCGACCGAGTCAGTCTGGCATCGGCAAGGCAGAGGGAGCATCTCGAATGCTGAGATTACGACGAGCCGCTCGACCCAGCAGCGCATCTGAACAACACCCCTGATGAGCGGGCAGCTTGACATTTGGACTTGGGAAGCGGCGCGGCAAGGTGATGGGTTGACGGCGTCTTGTTTGGGGGCTGCATCCATGCGCAACCCACAGACATCTGAGCAGGCGGTCTGGGCAGCATCAATTGGACGTTGCCAACGTTGTAGCCGCTCCAGCAGCCCGGTAGAGCTAATCTTAGAACCATGGTGGTGCCAGACCAGCCTGGTGCTCGAGTCCCAGCCGTCCTGGGCCTGGCGGTCTGATCAATTGATAACCCGATTGACATTTCAAGACATCAATGGAGCACCCAGGCCTCCTCGCGCAGGCTCCAGGACCCAATTTCAGCGCTTGAGCCTTCCTGCCACCCCCAAAGCGGCCCTCTGGCACTCGCTGCATGTGCTGGTTCCATGATTGATCATTGATCATCTGCTGCTGTGTCAGCCGTCCTTGTCCAGACGTCAGCTTTTGTCACTCGGGCCCCCGAGTTGACTGACCCCCTGTGCCGAGCTTGTGGCAAACTGGCCGTCTTCTTTGTGGCACCAGTGCTTTCAATGTTGCCAGCTGCTTGCCTGCCCGCCTGCCTGCCGTGGTCATCTGCCCAAGCCCATTTGATGGCATGGTCTATGCCAGCTCCCGACCGTCTGGGAGTTGACGAGTTGCGCGCCCTTTAGGATTTCCTTTTGATTATTCCCGCTCAGCGCCTGCTCCGTACCTCCTACCAGACCTGGACCTACTGCATGCACTAGGTACCTCCTAGCTAGGTACTTTATATCGGTTCTCTCCGCTGGCGTGCTAGCAGAACCCCATCTCAGGTACCCAGGGAGGCAGGTAGTTTACTGGTCAATGGTCGACTTGTACTCCGTCGCCCCAGGTGCCGTCACTGGACTGGCAGTGCTGCGTGCTGCCCGCTCTGTCAATCGCTGGCCCGAGCTTTCTCGCCTCGCCTCGCCTCGCCAGACTCTGGAGCCCGCCCATCCATCCCTTCGGCTCCCCTTCTCTTAGACGTCTCCTTCCTTCTCCCCTTCTTGCGTCCCGACCTTTTTCTCTTCCTCTCTTCCTCTCCTCCAACACCACAACTACTACCACCAACACCCCACACACCACTCCTCACCGTCAACTACCAGCTCTGTCTGGTAAACGACTAAACCATCCGACCTGCTCGATTGCGAGCTTCAACCCCAATTTCTCTCATCGACATCCCGACCCTCGAGTTTTTACTCCCTCGCGGGCGTCGAATTTTCCCTCGTGCACGCCTCGTCCTGATCGACCACTCGCTTCCACCTTTCGTTTGGTCACCGCCACCAACAGCATAAAGTCGTGGCACACCAGATTGCACCCGACCTCTCTGACCGCCTCTACCACTGAATAGGAGCCCAGTGCATTGGTAAGTCATGGACAATTCAAGTCCCATCTAGAGTTTTGACGAAAAACAAAATCCAACCCTTTTCATAACCATTTATCCTTGTTGCCTCAAACGGCAGCTGAGGTTTTTTCCTTGTGCTGCTGCCTTCACTTTTGCTTCCGGGGGGGTCCACTGCAAACCAAGTGGTGGTTAGTGGCCGCATTAATAGCTGACCAGTTGGTGTACTTGTCGGTCCGGCCGTGTGTCCGTTATGTTAGCCTTGGGTGAAGTTTCAATGTGCACCCAACTTCGCCCAGACAATTTTGTACCCTTCAACCTCCCCCCACTCGTTCATGTTCCTCTTTAACATTTATCAACGCCCTGCACCTGTCTTGGAAGCATTCCTCTTCATTTCCCTCTTGCCTCAATTGATCATCGACGTTGGCTGCAATTATTATTCATCAGTTACTAACCCAGAGGGGACATAGCTAAATCAAGCACACTGCCCGACACTGTTCAACCTTTTTTCAACTCTTGGCAACAGTATCACCTACAATTTGCTTCCTTCCTTCGTGGAAAGAAGCTCCTTGAACTCACATTCAAAATGACTACAATGGTATGGAACACCACTTGACCCTCGCAGAATAATTAGCACCAGGAGTTTTTGACATGTACCCATCATCGGACGGCCATGAGTCTCCAGATGACGGCAAACCTCAGCAATGTGGCCCTTCGACTGTCGTGATCAACCAACATCGCTCACTTATTCTAATACATTAGCTAACGTAGTTTACCTAACAGGATCTGCGTGTCGGTAACAAGTACCGCATCGGCCGAAAAATTGGCTCGGGTTCATTTGGTGATATTTATCTCGGCACCAACATCATTTCCGGGGAGGAAATTGCCATCAAGCTTGAATCCGTCAAGGCCAAGCATCCCCAACTCGAATATGAAGCCCGGGTCTACAAGTCACTCGCTGGAGGTGTCGGTATTCCGTTCGTTCGCTGGTTTGGTACCGAGTGCGACTACAACGCGATGGTGCTCGATCTCCTTGGTCCTAGCTTGGAAGACCTCTTCAACTTCTGCAACCGCAAATTCTCGCTGAAAACCGTCCTGCTGCTCGCCGACCAACTGATCTCCCGAATCGAGTATATTCACGCCAAATCTTTTATCCATCGTGATATCAAACCGGATAATTTCCTCATGGGCATTGGCAAGCGGGGCAATCAAGTCAATGTCATTGATTTCGGTCTGGCTAAGAAATACCGAGATCCCAAGACTCATTTCCATATCCCGTACCGTGAGAACAAGAATTTGACCGGCACTGCACGTTATGCATCCATCAACACCCACTTGGGCGTTGAGCAGTCTCGCCGTGACGACATGGAGTCTCTCGGCTACGTCATGCTCTACTTTTGCCGTGGATCTCTCCCTTGGCAGGGTCTGAAGGCTGCCACGAAGAAGCAGAAGTATGACCGCATCATGGAGAAGAAGATGACGACCCCTACTGAAGTCTTGTGCCGTGGCTTCCCCAACGAGTTTGCCATCTACTTGAACTACACCCGTTCCCTTCGATTTGACGACAAGCCTGACTACAGCTATCTCCGCAAGATCTTCCGCGATCTCTTCGTTCGTGAGGGCTTCCAATACGACTATGTATTCGACTGGACTGTCTATAAGTATCAAAAGAACGCCCAGGCCATCGCTCAGGCTGCTGGCCAAGCCAACCCTGAAGATGACGAGAAGGCCCGTGCTTCCCGCACCAATGCTGCCACTGGTGTACAGTCTGCCGCCAAGCCCAATGCTATCCCGAGCTCTCGGCGTAAAATGCTTGAACGCGGATCTGGTGCTGGTGTCGACACTCCGGATACCAACCGTGCCATTGGCGGAAGCGACAGGATGTGAGTGATAAAGAACAAGCCCAGCCTTCAACGATATTCTTCTCTTTCTTGTAAGGAGTCATTTTCCTGCGCGCGTTGACTGTACTTGATACCGCTGGCTAAAGGGAAAATGTGCTGACAATCTATGGCTGACTCAGTGGACGATAAACAGGCTTCGCTCTGCTTCAAGGGGAGCGGCTTATGCCTCTGGCAGCCACCGGCCGACTTGATCCGTAATACATGGGCTTATCACTCACTGACTTGCCCCCATATGGGACTCCCGTTTGAAACGGCAGACGAAGGAGTCACTGCCATGGATGCCTTATTCTTTTCCCCAAACCATCGACGGAAATTTCAAGACTATATGCGCCAAGAGATGTGATGAGTCGAAGCAGCTAGCATGTTTACGCTACCACAGATCTCAAAAACTTGCCGGCAGAAAGTCGACGTCGTGGGAAATTTCATCCGGAAACCCGTCATTGTTTTTATTTCGTTTATTTTTATCATCGCGCATTGCTATATTTCGTTCTTCGACGCATTGTAGGGTTCACGACTTCACGCATGGCTCGGATCGTTCTTCGTTGGCAGTTGGTTCTTTCACCTCGTCGATCAGGACTCATCCCTGGGCGATGAAATGGAATTACTCGCTGTTCTTCGACGGCAGTATCTGAACGGCATGCCCGGTGATCTGTCTATGGCAGACTGCCAAAATTCCAGGGCACGTGTATGTGGCTGCAGTAGCATTCTAGATGCACTTGTTTCATGGAGCCGATCAGATCTACGCGAAGTAGCGAAAACTCTTTGGCGCTAAAGCTTGAAGTCTACTGGCAAGACTTCCACTTCAAGCCCTAGCCCCAGTCGTTGCGGTACAGCTGCGTTTCACGCTTAGTAGGCATTTTCCTATCTTTCCTTGGTCATCAGTTCTGCACCTCACCCGACTCTTTGTCTTTGAAATTCTGGTTTTTGTCCCGCATCGCGAGGCGGCTTCTGGGGAGGTTTTGAGGAGTCGACGAAGCCTGCTTAGCAAGGTTGTATCGGTCTCGCCGCCTTGCACGCCATACTGCTAGGGCGTGTGGGCTGTGTCACTTCACATGATATAGCTCTGGACCTGCTATACTTTGCATGAGGCGGTGCTGGCACTCTAGGCATGATCAGGCATGTCATGTTCAGCAGGAACTCAAGCGCAGGATACGTGGTGGTAGTGTTTGGAGGATGGGCTGTTTTAATTTGATTTGCGAAATTGGCCCGGTTTGCCCGCAATTCGGCTTTCAGGCCCCGGATGCATGTCTATTGCGAGAGCTTGCTCTTCAGCTCTGTACCCCGACGTGCAAAGAGAAGCGCCGACATGAGGTAGACATGACGACATCAAGACGGACAAGCCAGTATTACATCAGATAGTCTTCAACAATTGAGTGCTTATTGTTTTTCTTTGCTACAATGAAATGTCTTGGACGTATTGGATCTACTGTGCGAAGCTCGAGACGTGTGTTTATCATGATAGTAATTGACTGTGTCTTTGGGAGATGAAATGGTAGGCAAAAACGGTCACGACTCGGCACATTGAGCCCTTCGATGTTTTGCATGTCGCGTGAGCCCGAGGCGGGTCTGGAGCGACCAAGACGGCTTTGTCGTAATGGCAAGTCCTCACGAGGAGCGCAGAGATCAGGTCACATGGAGGCAGAGACGGCGGATGATGCAGGGTCTGAAGCATGCGGCACACGTATACCCCATGATTAAGAGCATCGTACAGAGGGAACTAAGTAGAAGCCAAGGCCCAAAGCTCCGCGTTAGCCGCCGGCTTGGGTGGATGATATCGACAAGCGGCCGACAGGGGGGTTACGGCGGTGGAGTTTTTCTACTCCGTACTTGGGCTGATGTCATTTGAACTCGTCTGGTTGCGCTGCACATGGAGTCCGGTTCACAAGGAAGCTGCATGTGGTGTCTGGTGCGTTTTGGGGTCCATCAAATGGCTTGAAGTTTATCGACCTGTGGCAGCTCCGTCCAGTAGGCCTTGCACGGCCGCCTGAACAAGTCTTGGACAGCCAATCAGGTCCCGAGGTTGCAGCGGGGGGTGCTCGACTGAGGCTCGCTTCTGCAGAAAATAGCTTTGAAACATTGGCTGTGCAATACTCGAATGGAAGTTGAGGCTCACCAGGGCACCAGGGCACCAGGGCACCGGGTCGCCGGGTCACCAGGCGGCTGCCTCTGAGCAGCTTGAGAGATGGTCTGACCAGGAAGGAGTCGATCTGGTGGGTTGCCCGGTACTCTGGCGCTGAGCTTAAAAGGCTGGCGTGGCCCACGACACCCAACGAGTCTGGATTAAGTACCTAGGGGGCTTGGAAGACGGATATCGAGGCATCAATTAAAGTCGCCGGTCGTACCAGACTCGAGTACTCGGTTGTACGGAGGGATCTGAACGCTGATCGGACCGGCAGCCCCCGTCGACGAAGCACCAGACTTGACCCAGACAGACCAGCCGAACCCCTGGACCTGGACGACGGGAGCCCGCAGCAAACTACCACGTACCAAGTACGGAGTACCTACTTAGGTACTACAAGTTGACCTGACCTCACTTTACATGGCGTCGTCCATGTCGACATGGACTTTGCTCGACGTCGAGCAACCTTTGTCCCTCGCCAGCACCAACTCCAGCTCCCGCACCCGTGCCGGCTTCGTGAGTGACGACAACCCGCGCAGCGTCGACGGCTCGACGAAAGAAGCAGCCATGGCACCCTCGACTCTTGGTCTGCTGATGCTCACCTTCAATTGCGCAAAGAAGCTGGTCAATGTCGACGTCCTCGCGAACCACGTGCACACCGCATTTACGAATAATGCCACCACGTTGCCAGATGTTGTGGTCTTGTAAGCTACCAACTCCCCCCTTTTTTTTGCTCTCTCTTTCTAGTATTTTTTTGCCTCCTTTGTCAGAAGCTAACGGGTGGTGCAGCGCTCTCCAGGAAGTCGCACCGCTGAGCTCAGCCTTCATCAGCTCGCGCTACCTCGAGGAGTACTTTGCGCGCTTCAATGACGCCGTGAATCTCGCTGCCAGGCAATACGAATCAAACGGCACGCCACGAGAAGAACCTCTAGTCTCGGTAGCGCAAACAGTCTCCGGCCCGGAGCCGCCCTCACCCCAGCGTCGCTCGTACACACTTGTTGCGGCCCACAATGTCGGATACACGGCGATATTGCTCTTCGCCCGGGACCCGGACAGGATACGCAACCTGAAGCATGCCGAGGTCGGCTTTGGTACCGCTGAGATGGGCAACAAAGGTGCCGTGGGTATACGGGCGCTGTACGACGTCGACGGCACCGGGGCCAGGTGTACAGAGGTGACCTTTGTAGCGGCGCATCTGGCGGCAATGGAGTGGAATTTGGCCCGGCGGAATGCGAACTGGGCAGCTATTGTGCGGGGGTTGACGTTTGGCGATCCCGAGGTCATCTTGAACGACCTCAGGGGACCCGAGGGAGCCCGTGAGCCCGCCCAGCCAGCCGAGAATAACGACCAAGGCACCGAGGGACACCGCCTGCTGCACGACGTGCACGACGAGCAACACGTCCAAGTCCAACGGGCCATGCATGACATTTCAGTATTCAAGCCGTCGTCGCACCTATTCCTCGCCGGCGACCTCAACTACAGAATATCAACCTCCTCCCCGCCGCCCGACGCCGTCTTCCCAAGCCTGGATCCCTCCTCGCCAAACTACTACCCTGCCTTCCTCCCCCTGGACCAGCTCACCCGCGAGCGGCGCGCCGGTCGGACCATGCACGGCCTGTCGGAGCACCAGGTCAGCTTCCCGCCAACGTACAAGTACGACGTGCAGCCCAAGCTGTCGGTCGTGCCGGACCAAGACGAGACCGAGGTCCCGTGGAAGTTTGCAAAACACAGATACCCAAGCTGGACGGACCGCGTGCTGTATCTCGACCTTCCGCCGTGGGTCAAGTCGCGCGGCGACCATCCCAGCATGAATGTCATTGCCTACGACGCCCTGCCGCTCCTGAGGAGCAGCGACCACCGCCCCGTCTACCTGAGAGTCGAGGTTCCCCTCATCCCGCCACACGACTTGTCCCCGCCGGCATCGACAGAACACACCGCCGACGGCGAGACCCTCAAGGACCCGAGAGTACGCCTACCCATAGAAGTCGACCCCGAGGCCTGGTCGCGCCGCCGGGTCGCCCGCCAGTGGGAGCTCGCCGTGGGATGGGGTGCCTTCCTGGGCAGCACCAAGGAGGGAGCCTGGATATGGGCCACGCTGCTGGCCGGCGGCGTTGCAGCATGGTGGCTGTACAAGACGTGGTAAAAGACCAGTAACGGACATGTATTACCAGCGGAACGATAGATTCCCAGGGACCAGTCAGGCCCTCTCTCTTTTCTTTCTTTTTTTAATATTTTTTTTTGCTTTCCAGATCATCATGGGTAGACTATGGCCCGTGTTTTTTGAGACGACATGACGGGGTATGAAAGACGCATAAACGAAGTTACTTTTGGGGGCGGGCGTTTCGAGCAAACCCGTACGTAAACTTAATAGGGGCACCTTTTTTGGTCTTTTTTTTTCTTAACAATCCAGACCACGAAATGAGCATGTATTTTGACTCAAGATTTGTTCGATGCAGTCATTACTACAGAGTAATTTTGAAGTCGTACAACGCTGATGTGAAACAATGTCTCGCCAGTCCTCTCTCCCTTGCTGGTCGGCACTCGGTGGACATGTAAGTTAAACGCCTGCGGGTGCCATCACTACAATGACAGGCCCTCCCTTTCCCTTTCTCACGAATGTTACAAAAGTACAATACTACTCTCTCCCAATATTTATGGTTGCCTCTTACGAAGCAGTTCATTTACACGGAACCAAAGAAAAAAGTAAAATGCCCGTCTCTTACGCCTACCCGCTGCAATTTGCCCCGGACAGCCGGCCAGCCATGTAGTCGTGTCCAAACAAGAACCCAAAAAAAAATGGTAAAAAGGCATGCTCTGCTATTAAAAATCCGCAAAATACCCGTCATACTGCTGCGCCATTTCCTCGGTGTACCGGTCTCGCCGGCCGTCGTCCTCAGGGTATACATCGAAGCACTGCGAGTCGCCGGCGTACCGTATCGGCGGGATGATCGGCCCTAGTTGCCGGCGGCCGAGCAGGTCGTCCCAGTTGACGTTGCGGAAGAAGGGGTGAGCCTTGACGCGGGCGGCGCCGCCGCTGATATTGCCCAGGCGCCGGGAGCGGTCGATGGTGCAGAAGGAGCAAATGATGTCTTTGGCTTCGTCGGATATGGGCGGGTCATGGGGAAATGTGACTGGTTTTTCGACGATTCTTATTCCGCCTGTTAGCTTTCTCCTCTTGTTTGGGTCTGTCCTGAGACCCGAGTTTTCTTACTGTTTGTATATTTCAATTGGGTTCTGGTGCCAGAATGGCGGATATCCTGTTAGGAATTCGTATATCAGGATTCCTAGCGCCCACCAGTCGACAGCTGTGGTGTGGCCCTTGTTATGGATGACTTCGGGGGCTAGATATTCGGGCGTGCCGCAGAGGGTGTATGTTTCGACGGGGTGGTCGCCCTTGTAGCCTAGTCGCTTGGCGAAGCCAAAGTCTACGAGTTTGATGTGGCCGTCCTTGTCCAGCAAGAGGTTTTCCGGCTTGAGGTCTCGGTAGGCCACGCCGCCTTGCTGCTCGTGCAGGTATTCCAGGACGAGGACAATCTCGGCGGCATAAAATTGCGCCGTGGCTTCGTCGAAGCGCCTGAATTTGCGGAGGTAGCTGAATAGTTCGCCGCCGGGGACGTAATCCAGGAGCATGTATAGCGAGTCGTGGTCTGAAAATGAGGCGAGGAGATTGGTGATGAAGGGGTGGCCGGCTACATCGGCCAAGATGGCTCGCTCATGTCTAACATGGTCGACTTGCTTGAGCTTGATGACCTGTGTTTTGCGCAGGATCTTGAGGGCGTATACTTGGGCGGCGCCCGTGGTGTCCCTTTCTAATGGGATGTTGGGGGCATTGGACGGCCGGACAAGGCATACTCGCGCAAAGGTGCCTAGATGGCCAAGTTAGGTTTGAATTGGCGGCGCTACCTGGGGTCAAGGGGAACTGTATCAAGGCGGAAGTGACGATGCATATGTTTGGGTGACGAACCTGTTCCGAGGGTGCGAACAACATTGAAGTTGCTGGGCTCAAACCTATGGATTTGTGGCAACGGTTCGGCTTGTCCGGCCTGTATTTTCGAATGCGCCTGGCAATTGTGAAAAGAATGATCCTCATGCGCTGCATGGGAGCCTGGCGCAGCTGGCGAAGTAAGGCTATTCGAGGGCAAGTTGGCTGGCGCCTGCGACTGTGCCACAGTAGCCGCCATTCTGTCGGCGTTGATGTCGAGAGATTGCTGTCGGTGAGATGCGGCCCAAGAAGCACCAAGTGGAGAGAGGACACTAGTAATATAGACAAGACAAGACGCAGTTCAGATTGATGGTTCCTTTGTTGTTTCGAAAATGTGTTGAAAGAGAGATTGAGGCTTGGATCAATCACCCCCGTTTGAGCAGGTAGTTTCAGGTGCGGTCCATGGCCACCAGGATCCCGATGTGGCTAATGAAAGGGAGCAGGATCAACGACCATACGCAGCGCCAGCGCGGTTCTCTCCAACCATGCGCCCTCTGTCCTCTCGAATGATGCGTTCTGCGTTCTGCGAGATAGCGACAGGCAAGGCAGTTGAGCTGCGCGGCAATTTGACGCGGAGGCGAACGGGAAATGGCCACGACAAGTCAGAGAGGCGGAGGAGAGGCGGAGGAGCGGCGGAGGGGGAGAAGGCTGGCCAAAAACGGTCGAGAATACAATTGAAAAAATATAACGAGGATCTGGGCCGGTTCCGACTTGACGGTATTTTTTCGTCGAGGCGGCAATTCAACCGTGACGTGCCTTTTTCTTGTTCTGTCCGACTAAGCTGACTCGGTTGGTTGGCTCTGGTGCTGATTTAGACCTGATGAGGCATAACGAGGTGCCCAAGTTGAGCGGTGGCTTGCACCAGGCTTGGACAACGGGGCGGTTCTCGGCGGGATTCACTCTGGGCAGCAACGGACAGACAGAAAAAGAGCAAAATCGATGACGGCACAACGGCGACGGTAGCGGCCGTTGGAGCGATGTTGGGGATGAGGCCAATATCAGCAAGCACAAGATGCGGAGCGAGGCGGGCGCGAGAGCAACGGGAGCAACAGGTCAAGTCATCAAGTCACATAGGAATGTGGAAGAAACGGGTCAACCACAGGATGGGGATTCGGGCACTCGAGCAAGCCAGTTGTGACGTCGGGCTTGCCGGCGTGGATGCTGATCTCCGGAATTTGGGGGAGGAGCATGACAGGATTGCCTGCGTCGGTTAATGTTGCGACTTGAGACGGTGACGGTGCCGGGGTGGACTAGCATTGTATTGACACATTGTGCGCCTGGAATGACGGGGGGCCAACGCCAAGACTGCGCTCGAGGATTTCATATTAGTATTAGTCTATGGATAATATGTGTACTTATGTACTAGTGTATACTGTACGGAGTATGTACATATGGGCACGTACAATGCGCATGTATGCACATAGTAGTATGTACTACGTACCAGCATCCGCATGTCTAGTGCATTTGCGGGTGCAGGCGCAGGCAGGCGCAGGCAAACCCTTGCGAGAGCCTAAGAGCATAAATTGGGCAACATGGCAACAATCACAAACCGACAAAATCCGACAAAACAAAGCTGCCTACAAGTCACAAGCCACAGGCCAAAAAGCCCAACCTGCTGCTGGCGGCGCTGGAGCAAACCCCAATCACATCAGTCCCGGAGGCGCCCTGATCCCAGCCGTTCGGGTACGTAGCATTTACACGCACATGGCGGGGAGCATCGGGGACCACAGCAGCCGAGCCCGCAACCTTGAGGAGCATTGGGGACACAAGATTACGTAGGATTACGCTTTGGGTGTGGACATGTGGAGGGGTGCCCCCGTTGCTATCCCAAATTATGACGCAACTGTGTGGTGGGGGAAAGGCGGGCAGGCCATGTGGGCGCGTCTAGGTACATCGGCATGCTCATTCCAGCTCCAAGCTGCTCGACCGAGTGCATGTGTGCTCGAATCAGCAGCCGGTGCAAAATATTCAGAGTCCTTTATGCTTCAACTACGAACATTGAATGCAGATGCCTGTTACAGTCACGTCTGGAAATACCCGCTTCAAAGCTTCTTCCCGGCGTTCATTGCCTCGAAGGAGACGCAAGTACCTAGTGCAGCAAGCGGCATAACGTGCCTAAGCACAAGGTACCAAGTACTCCGTACCTGCCTATTGTGTTCATTGATAATGCATCCAGACGGTAGTTGACCGTTGTATATTCGTTCACACCTGCCTAGCCATGGGACAACATATCCCGCCAGACACAGCTTCTCTTTCCTCAAATTGCTAGGGAGTTTTTTTGAATGAATCGAATCCTGCTGGGATCAATGTCACGTGCAGTGCCCTTCATGCATCAAGGGCAGCCCATCGCTCATCTTTCATCACACCTCTTTCGTTAGCTCTGCAGTATTGGTGCTTGTTTCATACTCACCAGCCTTTGTGTGATTGTCGTGTCGCCTCGCCTTGCTCTGCCGCGATCCCTCACAAATCCAGTCCGCTACGGTGATGGAGTGTCGGAATATGACTTTGCTTCAGAGTCGTCGCAAGTTGGCCGTGTTATTCTACAGGAGCTAAAGACAATGATTAGCGTGCGACTGATCGATCCTCGGGCTGTTGCCGCTCAGTCAGTATGCACCTTGAGACCAGAGTTGCACCCGCCGAGAACCTTTCGAGCAATCAACCCTAACGCCTGCACATAGCTTCATGTAAATCAACATGATGATCGAGCTTTTTCAATGCACGGCTCGAGTCAATGCGGTCCGTCATATGAGCAACAAAGGTAATCGCACCCGACGGCGACCAAGGTCTTTCCCATTACTTGGTTATCGAAGAGAATTTGTTGAGCATGTCCCAAGACCCGATACTCGAGTCGAACAAGTATATTGGTCATGGGTGGAAAATAAGACCCTTCAATGTCGAAACAAGGCCAGTGTAGCACGTCGCATCGGGGTTATTTGTATAGAGGTGGAGGGGGAGAGCGCAGCAATTATCCTGCCACTATAGGGTAGGGATCTGTCTGCAAGATGTGATGACATCTTGCGTTATGAGTTCCAGTTTTCGCTTTGTTTTTCAAGCAAAGCCTGGTCCAATTGATATTCGTGGTCTTATCCTCTGGCGAAATATTTTTCACGTCACTTCTCCTCGTCGAAATGGGTTACTACACTCAAGCTGGTTATTCGACCAATAGCGGTCGACTCGGTCTGGGCTCCGACTCAAGTCCGTATAAAAGATTGACCAGTAGACTCCCCGACTAATTGGAAACAAAAAAGACCAGCAAAATGGTGTGCTAGAAAGGGTAGAATTCCTATCGGGCCAGATGGCGTCTCCCAAAGCCAAGGCTTCGAATAGCGTAGCCGTGGCTGCGATTCGCCTCTTATTGCCCGGGCAGCTCCAGAAGGTACGCCAAGGGTAGCTCGCCATTGACTTCCGTCTCTGCCATGGACTTGTCCAGTATTCATTGTCCATTGCTCTACATAGCCGGCTGGGAGGATTGTATGTGTGCCGTTCCAATGCAAGGAATACAACGCTACACCGCATAAAGGGGAGGGGAGAGTAAACTTGTCGTTTTGGAGAGTGTTGACCGCTTTTGATATTCTGGACGACATGGTGGGCGTATGGTTGAATCATTTATTTAGTAATATATCTCGGCACATAAGCATCCGACATCCGATGTGGTGTAACGGCTATCATACTGCGCTTTCATATTCCCAGAATTGGAAGTGCCGCAGGGACCGGGGTTCGACTCCCCGCATCGGAGTTCTTTTTTTGCTTTTTCATGTTCTGACGTTACATATATACGTAGTCTTTAACTTTGTTGGAAGGTTCAACGGTGGTTTAAGGGCCTTGGGTGTTTTTTTGTAGAAGTTGTCGCGGTCGTTTCGACCTGTATGCGTGGCCTAGAAGGGGATTTGTAACCTAGTTATATATATATATATATATACACACGTCTGGGCCTTTGACAAACCGCTACTCTATCAAATCGGGCAGGTTAAATAAACATGCGTGAAAATCGACATGATTGGATTTATGGCTAAACGTGATATATTTTAGTGTCGCAGGGCTGCAGTGTTAGTCGGCCTGTAGTAAATAAAGCTGTGATGATATTGGGCGAATGAGCCTTACTTTTCTGTCAACATCCAAGCTTTTGGGACTTCGAACAGGCAATTTGAAACATAGCACAATGTGTCCCTTTACAATATATACTACCGGATACCTTTAAGTTCAATGTAAGTGTTGTATGCCTGTATCTTACCGGAGTACTTGCATGGAAGAGAGAATAAATGGGGACCACCAGACAAGATATACAGAGCTCAATGTGCGCCACAGCATTACTTACCTGGGTATCCAACTTGAATACTGGACTAAAGAAACCATCCCAGGCTTACTATTCTACCTTGGGATTGAGCCTCATAAGCATGCTCTGTTTTTATTTTCTTTCTTTTGCACATATCTGGCGTTTCTGGCGCTGCAGGTCCTGCAAGTGGTCTTGGCGGTCTTCAGGGCTGTCTGCAATCTCGAGGCGCAGCACAGGCGGATGCATGATGCCAGCTTGGAGTAAAAGGATGAATCGGTTCAATGCACCAGTGTACAAGGCACACGCAGGTGCAGGTCAATGGTGCGAAGACTCTGTATTGTATCAACTGCAGGCACGGGCACGGTGCAGCACTATGTCCTGGTGTGTTAGCATTGACTTGATGCCGCTGGACCCAATCAAGATTCAGTTGACTGCAGCCAACATTATTACTGGTCGACAGGCCATCGATGTCAACAGATCGACAACAGTCGACTCAATGTGCTGGAACAGATCAACAGGCGCTGGGCCAACATTGAACATTGAACTGCCAGCCACCACGGGGCGACTTGACGGCTGGGCCCACAGCCCATGTCAGCCTACCGCCTGCCGTCGCCCAACAAGTGCCCCTGTTGCCCGTGTTGCCTCGCAGCATTAAACTGTGCTGCCCGTGTTCCATTGGCTGCATCCATCAGCATGTAGAAGCCGACATGGAGTTGCTCTGCTCCATGCCATCCCACCCCCATTCCATCATCATCTTGTCCAACATTTCTTGCAACTCATAGTCTTCTCAACACCACGACCCGGCGGATTCGTAACCGCCCTACCGTTGCATACTCCCCTCGCGACAAACAACTGCATCTACAGCTCCTTCTGCCCGATTCTACAGACAAGTCCGCCGCCCTAGTTCTCGACCTGGTAGTCAAGCTGCCCGCTCCCTCTCGCACCGCCATGCGGCGCCGCTGATCCGCGACCATGTTCTCCAATTTCACGAGCATTGTGCAAAAGGCCCAGCAGCTCATTGACCCGACCCAAGGCCTCAACCTCTCCAGCTCCGATCGGAACCCTTCCAAGGCCTCCCTGTTCCAGAACCAGTTCCGCTTGCCCTCCTCGCAAAATCCCCTATACGAGATCAATGCCGAGCTTACCATCCCACCTTCCAATGCTACCCAGGGCGATAGAGACCACGATCGAGGATGGCATTACCCCGGAAAGCTGCATTTGTCCGAGTCGTACATGTGCTTTTCCACCACGCCCACAAGCTTCGTACAAACTGCCACCGCCTCGACGTCTCTGGCATTTACAGGCCCGACCCATGGCGCGGGGCCAAGTGGGAATGGTTTCACGTTTCCTCTGTGCGCGATTAGAAGAGTTGAGAGACTAAATAGCCAGAATTTTCAGGTAGGATTGCCCTCATGCGCCACCGGGCATCATGGTGAAGCGGTGTCGACCGAGCTATCAGCAGGTGCTAACACGCCGCCTCCTCTTGACAGTTTGCACTTGCCATTACGACGTGGAATGGGCTGTTAGCAGATAACCCCAAAGATAAAGACAGCAGCAAGGACATCAAAGATGCCAAGGAACAACGAATTACGATCCATCTAGCCGGCTCCCGACCTGCTTGCGAACGGTTTTGCGATGGACTCAAGAGAGGCCTGAGAGCCGGTGTCGGCAACGTCGGCAAGCTCCGCAAGGTCGTTGCTGAATGCTACTCCGAACACCTCCTCCGATCTGAAGAAAAAAAGAATTCAAACCCGCCCGATGCCGGTCTTGGCATGGTGTTTAGGTATCCCGGCGACCCCAAGAAGCTGCGAGACAGGGCCAAGATGCGACTCTGGGCCGAGTACTTGCGAGACAATGGAAGAAATTCGACCCTTATACGCCAACCCACATTCCACAAGCTCATTCGAGTCGGCTTGCCAAATCGTTTACGAGGAGAGATATGGGAACTAACTTCGGGTTCGCTGTACTTGCGACTTGAGAAACCAACTCTGTATGCCGATACCTTGACCAAATTTGAAGGGCAAGAGTCGCTTGCTATTGACGAGATCGAGAAGGATCTGAATCGAAGTCTGCCTGAATATCCCGGTTTCCAAAGCGAGGAAGGTATTGGCAGGCTTCGCAGGGTTCTTACTGCATACAGCTGGGTAAATCCTGATGTTGGGTACTGCCAGGCCATGAATATTGTCGTGGCGGCGCTGCTCATCTACATGTCCGAGGCTCAGGCTTTCTTCCTACTCTCATCTCTTTGCGATCGTCTTGTTCCCGGCTATTACTCCACAACCATGTACGGCACCCTACTGGACCAAAAGGTGTTCGAGTCGTTGGTGGAAAGGACGATGCCGATTCTCTGGGAACATTTAGTCAAGAGCGATGTTCAGTTATCAGTTGTCTCGCTGCCTTGGTTCTTGTCCTTGTACATCAACTCAATGCCCTTAATATTCGCTTTCCGCGTACTGGACGTCTTCTTTGTGGAAGGGCCAAAGGTGCTGTTCCAGGTCGGCCTAGCAATCCTGCGAATAAATGGTGAAGAGCTGCTGGATGCCGCTGACGACGGCGCCTTCATATCCGTCCTCAAGGCGTATTTCTCCAGGCTGGATGAGTCGGCTCACCCCAAGTCCGAGAACCCCAAGCTTCGAGCCGTCACCCGTTTTCAAGAGCTCATGGTAGTTGCTTTCAAGGAGTTCTCTGGCATCACTCACAGCAGCATCACCGAGTTGCGACTAAAGAAGAAGGATGCGGTCCTGAATAACATTGAAAATTTTGCCAAGAGAACGGCAATTCGAAACTTGGGACCCGACAGCAAGCTGCTCAACACAGATGAGCTCGGTGCCTTGTACGACAGGTTTTACAGTGTATTATACGAGCGGCAACAGCGAGACCTCATGATTCAGGAGGAGCAAAAGCGCCGGGCCAAGACAAGTAGAATGCGAGCTTCTGAAATCTTTTCCTCTGCGCCTAACCAGGTGGAAAAGGGCCGCGTAGGGCTAGGGCCGAGCACAAGTCTGATGGATTATGACGCATTCAGAGAATTCCTTGCCAGCATGTGTAAATGGGCATTGTCTGATTCCCCTGGAAACTCAAGGAGGGACACCATGGCTGGAGGCGATAAATCTCCCAAGTTCAATACTGCTCGGAAATCTCCAGATCTCACATCCCCTTGGGGTGTTGGCCCGGAGCCCGCAGAGCATGAGTTTCTGCAGCGCCTGTACAAGAAGTGGGATGTAGATGGAAACGCAGCTCTGACGCTGCAAAATGTTGTCACAGGATTGGCTGGTATCAAGGGCAAGAGAGATATTATGGGCACCATCACCTATTTCTTCGAGCTATACGATGATGATGGTGATGGCAAGGTTGACCGTGAAGGGATATTACGAATTTCCGAGGCATTACTGTTCCTATCACGACGCGGGCTCGAGGGAACACTCAGTCCCAATGCCTCAAGCCTTGCGCTTAATGGTGAAACTGGTAGCGCAAATGAGTCTCAGGCAAGCTTACCAGCGGGTATACCTGTCAACGAACGGTTCCTCGGAAGTGTGAGCGCCTTCATCCGCCGCTGCTTTGAGTACGCCGACCCGGATCACCCCCAGAACCAGAATACAAGCAACACGCCACAAGACGCCGAGGCAGACCAGAATTCGTTTGCCATAGGGGATGATGAGGACGAAGAGGATCTTCTGGAGCTGGAGTCTCCATCAGGGTCGCCAAAGGAAGCAAAGAAGACGAACGAAATGCTACTCGACGGGGAAGTGCCAGCGGATGGCACCAACGACGAGTCGCGGCGCAAGGTCTCCAAGGCCAAGTCGGAAGCTGCCAACGCGGCACTGAACCCAGCGCAGCCTCTGCATATGACGCTACCGACATTTAGAATGGTTGTTCTCGCTGACGAGCTCCTGGAGCAATTTTTTGAGTCTTCATTCCCCTTCTCATTCCATATCATTGAGGGCCTTCAGAGCGCAGCAGTGACACCACAAAGCTCGTCATTGACAACCTTTGCCAGCCTTGGCTTTGGTTCTAAGCCTCCCCTTCCCGTTCAGCCTGGACCGCACGGAGCAGGACGTGGCTTGCGAGGCGTGCTGGACAACATTGTAACGGACGGAATGCGGGTGGCAACCGAAGTACGCCGGCGCATGGAGGAGGCGCAGAAGGAACTTGAGAAGAATGCGCTACCTGGGCAGCGACCTGAGGATGATGAGGAGGACGACGATGATATTGGCATCGCGGTCGGGGCTCGGAAAGGACCAGGCGGTCCCAGCGGGGATAACCGGTCCGTCAAGAGCTCTGATCGCGATTTACTAGACGGATTAGACGCAGGGGCAGGAGCATCATCGAAAGAGCAGGACCAGGACCTAATAGATGTCAACTCCGGAGAGGGACGACCGAGAGTGGAGACGGTTGCGGCTTCAGGAACCGGAGTAGTTGAATTCGAGGGGTAGTTGGAATCATTTGAATCTTTTTTCTCTCCCTTTTTCTCATGAGCATCGTTTACGAGAAGAGGAGACGGCATGTGTTGTTGCTGTAATGGGACTATTATTGAATTTTTGTATTCTGGATCATAAGGATGGGGAGCATCATGGCGCAGGGGGGGATCTTATGGGTGTGAAATGAACAGACATGAAGTTGATGGTCGATTATGGGAATTTCTGGTGGCGATTGTGACTGTCTTGCTAAACCAGCTGGGCATATCGAGTTGGATAGCGATAAGACCATGATGTATCGAATCGCAGCCTATTTCACGCATCTTCATCCCGTCAAGCACGTGCCCAGCCCCCACCATTGGTCTAACATGTTGCATCATGTCTAGTTTCTACATACGCTGATGCCGTCCATGTATCGCTTTATCCCGAACCCACTCTACAAATGCTGTCCGCGCCCAGGTAAGCCCGTTGCTTAGATATCATAGCCGGAAGCCACCATGTCCTCGATGGCCTTTTGTATCACCTCGCCGTCGGCGGCGACGCTCATCCTGCCCGCGGCGGCCCTGGCACCCACCCACTCGACCTGGTAGTGCTCCTCCCAGGCCTCCTTGGTGCCGTCGACGGGCCGCAGGCTTGAGTCCCCGCGCGCGACGTACCAAAAGACCAGCTTGTAGGCCAAGGTGCCCGGGCACCTGTGGTGGCAGACGGCGACGGGCTCGCAGCTGCGCACGGCGGTGGTGACGTCCTCTGGGAAGCCGTCGGGGGTCCTGGCGACGAGGGGCAGCATGTCCTCTGTCGGGGTGGCCCTGGTGGCGACCCTGAGGGCCAGCGGCGCGACGGGGATGCCCGTCTCCTCGTGGGCCTCGCGGAGGGCGGCGGCGTGGATGTCCTCGCCGATGTTCTTGCGGCCCTTGGGCAGCTGCGTGATGCCCGTGTCCGGGTCGTGGACGATGGCGACCTTGCGCGCGGCCGGGTCGACGATGACGCACCCGCACGAGACGATGAGGCCGGCCGACGGCGCGCATCGCACCAGGAACTCGGACGGGGGGATGGTGTTGTTGGACAGCGTGGCGCCGCGGGAGGCGAGCTCGTGCTCGAGCTGCGTGTGGCCTCTGCGGCCGGTGCCGTTGGGGACCTTTTCCATGGCTTTTATTTGCGGGTTTTGGGGACGTTTTTGGTGGTTGGGAGGAGGTTGATGCCGCGTGGGAGGCAATGTTCAATGGCTGGTATTTGTATGTTGAGGCTTGGTGTGCTTTGGTTTCGTGAGGGCCTCTGTGTAGTTGGGCTGGATAGTCATGAGACGTGGCGAGCAAGAGTCATCGGCGTGTACAGGCACGGCGAAGCACAACATGAGTTGTTTTTTTCTCTTTACATGAGGCTGCGCCCCGCCGCTGTACATGACGCCAGGCATGTTTGGTCACACCGAGATATGACGGCGAGGATGTAGAGGAGGATGTACGGGGAGAAGGGGTTGAAAGGGTCTGTCGTGGGGGGAGAATGAGGTGTGGGGGCGGAGAATTCAGATGGTTTGGATCTGTGTTGGGTTGACTTTTTGAAGGTTGTGGCTTGAGAGGCGTGAGAAATAAAGTGGTGGAGATGAGTTTTTTTATATCTTGTTGTGCTGCGGCATGGTTGACGACAACTATTGTTGGGTGGGAGAGAACAGCCACGATGGGCAGATTTCCGTAGAAATGTAATGTGTGGACTGTGTAATTATTTGGATAACGGCTCGGGTCAAAGAGTCTCGTTGAGTGTGAAGAGAAACTGAGAGGGAAGGCTCTGATAGACGTGAGTGAGTGGCCCTCGACCGGAGATTTTTCACGGGTTGTATATATATATATGATCCGTAGTGTTGAAAGAGGAACGTTTGCTTACTCTCTTGTATATCCTCACGACACCAGTGCAGTTTTGCTCATTTGAAAATGGGAACCCATTCTTTTGGGCCAAAGTGTTTCATGCCGCATAACAGCTTGGACCGTGGCTGCTCTCAACGCCTGATTCCCACGTCGTACTTGACTTGTTGCGTTGGCCAAAGTCAAAACAATTGGCATCATTGGTGACAGCGGCACCAACTCTGAAAAGACCCAGCTGCGTAGCTCCCCATCACCCGCCCGGCACAAATAGGTGATGAATCCCGGCTTGGCAACGTTGGCGATGTGTTGACAAATGGAGAAGATTAAAAACCGGCCCTCTCCCCTCCCGTCTGCTGTATCACCTCACCCTGGTTTCAAGCAGCGCAATTTATCGATTCCCTTTGATTTACAAGGAGCATGACCCATGATTTTGCATGAGTGATAGGCACATGTCGAATAGGCAACTTTCCATGTTCCCGTAGCCAACCGGTGGACATGCCGGATTGAAACTCAGCCATCGCGTGACACAAGCTAAGCCATTGGTATTGGTATTGGTATGCGGAAGCTCGGTTGTCGTAGCGCACACACCAATGCGTTCGAGTTGAAAGAGTTGTGTACGACTCTAGGAATAATCAATGCGGCATGTGTTAACCTGTATAGAAAAAATGCTGTACTTGACATGCTTTGCATTGATCGATTGATGAGGTCGACGGTGATCCGGTGGGGCATCTTGCACTCGTCAACGTCAGGTTTGGCGCCATTATGTCACCATGATGTCGACCGGTATATCCACACACGCACAACGTCTGGTACTCTTTCCAGATTTCCGAGACGCATTTGATTCCAGTAAACCTCCAAACGGCATCGCTATTATTCACACCACACATCCTCCAGCTCGATCGAAATGTCAACGATTCTAGTTGTCGGGGCCACCAGAGGTCTGGGTGCCAGTCTAGTGAAGCAGTATGCGGCGACTGCCGCCAACGTCGTGTATGGAACTGCTCGCTCTAGCGCGATCCCCTCTGGGTTTCCGGAACACGTCAAGTGGCTCAACGGTGTCGACTTGGCCAAGAGTTCTGTTGGAGACGACATTGTTAAGCTTCTCGGCGACACCAAGCCCTTGTCGACACTTGTGAGTATCCTTGGAGACGACACGAGACAAACATGTCGGTTGAGCCATTAACATGCAAGAACCACAGATAATCACCGCTGGTCACTTCTCCACAGAGGACATCAGCGCTGAAAAGGGCCCAAATTGGGATCAAGAGCTCCAAATGTACACGACTAGTTCCGTTGCACCAGTCTTTATTGTCCACCGGCTTGTTCACGCTGGGCTGCTGCACCAAGGGTCCAAAGTTATCTTGGTGTCTTCCGAGGCTGGGAGCATAGGGCTCCGCCACGAGAAGGAGGGCGGTGGCAACTATGCTCATCATGCTAGCAAGTCGGCGCTCAACATGGTTGGCAAGCTACTTAGTTTGGACTTGAAGGAGAAAGGTGTGATAATCAGTATTGTCCATCCTGGATTTATGCGAACCGACATGACGAAAGGAGTCGGCTATGACAAATACTGGGACGCTGGAGGCGGTGAGTTCATACATGTTGACATCTGCTCCCATCCTCACAGCCCATGAATCAGATCTGACGACTTCATTGCAGCTGTCACATCCGACGAAGCCGCCTCGACCCTTATCCAGTGGACTGATCATGTAGATATTTCCAAAACTGGGGAGTACTGGGCGCCCAGAGGGCCAGGTCAGTGCACTACTTTTTCGACCCTCCTCCGGGGGGATGTTTTCTCCTGCTGATATGCGTGCGTTGTCAGGTGATATTGGTACAGTTGAAGAAACTATGGGGAAGAATCTGGAAACTCCCCTACATCTGCCATGGTGACGAGGCTTGAGCTGAATATGACGCTTCTCTTGCTCGACTCTTTATTGGTGATTGGGCATCTCGGCCACCACGCTGCAATCCCCGTTGCCATCGACTGAATTATACTGTGTCGTTGAGATTTGTTTGTGTACCGGAAGACTTCGACTTGATACTAGTAGTACAGGTATTAATTCACTCAGAGCCACATGTCACAAGCATGAGCCCCTGCTTCTGACCACGCCCTGGATAGTAATCGACGCAATGGTGGAGACTGTACGGAGTACGTATTTCGGCCACTGTCAGATTGACAGCTTTCTTCAGTGGCGCAATTACTAAACCAACTCAGTAAAATACCCATGTGATAATCCAGGCCGGGGAGTAAGTACTACCACTTAATTAGGATCTACTACGGTAACCACGCACTTGTCGTGTCTTGTCACAAGGTGAAAATACAAAGGCGCTATCGGGTTGCCAAATTATATGGAGTACCTGAAGACAAATCATCTCTCCGTGGGTGTGCATGAGTTGTGCAGCGCAAGTCGGGCGAAGAGTCTCTGGCAAGATATACTGGGGATCGCATCTAAGTTTCTAATTGCGTGTAAGATATTACAGCGGTGTACCCCAGCCGGCCAGATACGTTTTGTCCGTCTTCCACTTAATATAAGAGGATCCGTAGAGCTTAGTGTCGAGGGGCCTTGCCTTGTAGTACGTTATTGTGACTCCGGAACGTGGTTGGAGCGAGCACACTTGAGCTTTGAGAAGAATTGTCTCTTGGAACAAGCATTCGTGCAAAGCGCGTCTAAGATCTGAAGTCGGCTCAAGACGAGCAAGCGACTCCTTACGGGAGACGCTGTTGGATGTCTGCACGTCCACAGTTTCATATTGCGGTCGTCATTTATGGCCCTCTTTCATTTGCGGCAGAGCCTTGCACCCAGGCTTCAATACGAGAAGTGACCGGAGGCATGCAGGCCGGGGGGCCAGAGCGATTGTGCTTCCAATTTCAACTAAATTGGCGATGCCATTTCGACCAGAGAGAGCAGAAATGATTTATCATAGAGGCATAACGCTTTCGAGGCTATTCCGTATAACCAGAACATATTTCGTGCCGCGGCCATTTGTGGTTTCGGGCTCCTCTCTCGGCCAGCAGTCCGCAAAAAGAAGAAAGAGTGGTGATTCGGCCGTGAGCTTGTTGGAATGCGGCCAACGTCATTGTCGTTCGGCTCAGGGGCTGCGGGTCATGTTGGGTAGCGCTGGGCAAGGGAATTAATTACCCCCGTCCAATATTATACTTTAATAATACTACTATGCCCCCGATTTAACGAGTTGATGAGTTGACGAGGCCCACGAGAAGGTGGGCAAGGTGGCATTGTACGGCGGGGTGCATGGCCATACCCAACGCAGATCTCACACAGTGTAACAACCAGGGCATAAATCCCGTAGATTGCATGGCTATTTGCGCCTTTTGGCGATGTGGAAGGCCAAAAAAGGGGTTGTCCTATTTGCACGACCCATAAATCGCTGCGAAAAGGAGGTTTGAACATTCCAATGCTGAGTATGGACGGATCCAGGGCATTTCTGCACAACGCCGAATGCTTCAATAGTTTAGACGGATAAGTCTCCCTCCTTGAGCGTAGTTTTACTCTTGCTGGCAATAGCGAGACCATATGTATTCCGCCCATGAGGGGATAATGACGAGGTTTTGGCCGGCGCACAAATTGGATTCTGCTCGGCTCGTCGTCCAATAGCCAAAATCAACGACACTTTGGTGAAAGCGATAACCTCTTCCAGCCATATGGGGTAAAGAACCCTGGGACAGCTGCCACTGTACATGGACCTGGGTGTGAATTGACCAGTATCCATGTCGGCGCTAACTACGTAGCGTTGATGTCGTCGCTCGAGCTCATCTACTGATGTATGTACGGAGCAATACTGTTCATCTATCAGCTTCTGCCATCAAATCTGTTGGTGGACCAAAGAGAATGATGCCCGGGGCAAAGGTGGGAATAATAAATAGCAATACCAGGAAGAACTCCGTACATATGTACACAGCATTGTGTCAGCCAAGCACCTGCCAGCCTAGGTCAGTAGCAGCCAAGTATCTACCCCATCGTGCTTTTCGAAGGACAGTACTCCGTACTCCGTACCTGGTAATCGATAGCTTGTGGAGTTGAACACTGGGGTCGTTTCTCGAACCATGGAGGCCTACCTACTTAAGTACATACTTAATTTGCCGTTCCATGCGCCTCTCTGAAGTGGTTGAGTGGGTTGAAGCGACATTTGAAAGTCGCATTTTGCAAGTTGGGCTTCAAAGCTCCTGCTGTTTTTGTTAGGCAGACACCAACCATACGTAAACGATCGTGGTACTCCGTACTCACGTGCCGAATGCTCAGTGCTAGAGACAGACTGGGACATTTGGACCGTAAATGTGCAAAATGTGCATATATGTGTATATTTGTGCTTGCAAATATTGTAGAAAACACCAGCACGTAGACGTCGATAAAGCCTCGTCTCAATTCGACGTCCTCTTGCATTTGCACAGCATCTATCCAGGAGAAAAAAGTGTTATGCTCACCACCTTGGAATACATCGCCCGCCACTACGATTTGGCAATACAAGACAGGCAGTGTCTGATCTGACCCGGCAATCGTTGAGGAATTCAGAAACTATTGACCTCTCGATTTTGGGGGTCTTCTGTACCTGACAACATTAAAGCGCCCGAGACACCATCATCATCACCAGGTGGAAGAGCTGCTGCCTGTGATCGAGCCGGCCTGTTGCATACCAGTGTTTGCCCAGCCGCAGCCGTGTCAGATCTTGGCTAAACAAGGCCAGAGGCAAGAGAAACAAAGCGGCCAAGCGAATCTCGTTCTGCGTTGGTACCGCCGGCTACCGCTGGCACAGTGACGGAGCAAGCGACGAGGTTGAAGTCTAGATTGGCCACGACGTTGAACCACTTTTTACTTTCTTGTCCAACTTTAATCGAGGAATACGATACAGAGGCAACGGCAGGATCCCAAAAGTCGACTTGACAGCTCGACAACACCCTCTCGCCGTGGCGCCGACCACTTGCAGCCAGCCCCGAGCCAGCCTCAAGCCAGTTCAAAATCGTGCCTGCGAATCTCTCAGCTGCTCGATCGCCCAAAAAGCAACCATTTGCCACGATCCCTGGTCTTTGGCACCACTAGGCCCCCCCACCGTGCATCTCAACTTCAGGACTCGGGCCCAGAGCCCATCCGGATCCCCAATTTTCACGCCGCCATTTCTGTGCGCAGAGCGGAACTACGCCCCCCATTGAGTTCTGCTCTCAGAGCCTTGGCCACGACGACGCGTCGATATCCCAGCAAGCCCATTTAGATAGACCCTGAGCCTCGCCTGCTCTCGTCTTCAAACCGCGCCGCTCCCATTCCTCACCATTGTTGCACGGCCCCTCAGATTCGGCCCTCAGGCTTCACTTGCACACTTCGAATCCGCTTGACGGCGAATCGACTGCATGACGAACTCTGCCTTGTTCCGTCTTGTGCTCGTCAACTGGTGCTCTTTGACCGACAGGAAGGGACGTTCGGCCCAGTGCAGACCGAGGTCGTACCAATATCCAGCCTGATCAGCTGCGTCACGCGGCACCTTGCGTATCTCTGGTCCCTTCTCCTAACAAACGGTTTCCATCCATCCTCGCGCCCCCTTTACGGCCCGCTGTTGCCAAGGGCTTGCGAAACGCATATCTTGTCGGCATCGGTTTTGGGCGATTGACGCACTGCTTCGCCCCTTCTCAAACGACAAACCCCTGGATCTTAAAGACGCCCCGCCATCTACTGGCTGTAGCCGCCCTTCTGCCCGTTTCACCGCAACGGGGAAACTACCATCGCGCCTTTCCTATTGGCATGATATCCGGCCTGTGCACCAAGGCCCGAGGAATTTGACCACCCACAAGAGGCCTTTCTTTGACTGACAGGTTTCTAATTTGTATCCTTTGTTTTTAATCGATTACGGACCACACTCTCCGGGGCTGCATTATTCCTTGCCAGCCAGTCAAAATGTCTAGCCCAAGCCCTTTCCAGCAAGGTAAGCTGTGCAGTGTGCTCATGGACGCTCGTGGGCGACGCATGTGCTCATGTCTGGCCATGACCCCTCTCCCTCCTTGGCAAGGGCATGGAGCATTCGTCGTCATTGACCGTTGTGCAATGCCCGCCGCTGGCATGTCTCCTCGAGTTCGGTGCGCGCATTGTCTGCCGATCCCCTTGATTTGGCTGCTGTCGTGGCAGGTGGAGGAGATTGTCGCGTTTCATCTTGTTTCGTCGGTTCGCACATGCATGAATCAGATTCCAAAACTAACTCTTTATATCTCTTGCATAGGGCAACTCCCCTCTCCAGGACTGTCAATCAACCTGTCCTCCAACAACCCTTTTCGCAACCGGGCAGCGTCGCCTGCCAGCCTTGATGCTGCCTTTGCAACGTCGACCAACTCGCCCTTTGACGACCCTACGCCTATCCAGAGACCTCTATCGCGAAATCCTTTCCTTGACCAATCCCAGCAACCTTTGAAGTCGCCGGGTGGTATTTCCAACAAGTCTGAGCACAAGTCGCTCTCCGCTGAAGATATATTTGTATGTTTGCGTGACCATGCACAAAGCCGCCGTCGCCAGCACGGCAACGGCCATCACACCAATTCGCACGAGACCGACAGAGTGACCAGGGCTGGATCGACCTATTGGCTAACAAATGTTTCCAGGATTCACTGACACTCGACGACACAATGCAAAACGATAAGTTGCCTCCGCCGTTGATTGCCCAGCGACGCCCATCAGACCAGGTTCCCGCTGCTCGTCCTGGGGAATCTCAACAGCCTGGCGACAAGCACCGACTTGCCAAGTCACAAGAAGAAGCCATGCGGGCAAGGAAACCAGGTCCAGGTCCAGGTCCAGGTCCAGGTCCAACACCCAACCCCGCAACATCAAGGTCTCCTCAGAGGAAACCGGTCCGACGTCCGCGACGAAATTCAGACTCATCCGTTATGGACTTCAATGCTCAGCCCATTACAGCCGAAGAAATGAAAATAATTGAGGAGCACCGCATGCGAGACCGACAACGCCGTGAAAAGACCGCTCGTGAAAAAGGGAGCCGGGATAAGGAAAGTCTGGAGGGCCGTGAGCCTCGTGACAAGGAGCGAGAGGGTAAAGGACGGACCAAGTCTGGTCGCCCAAGCCGACGAATGGATATAATCGACCAGCTGGATGCAACCAGCATATATGGCACTGGCCGTAAGTTGTATTGATCATTACTTGCATATTTCCCCATCTGATCAAACGTCGTCTGTTAGTTTTCCATCATGATGGCCCATTCGATGCCTTGAACCCGCATCGAAATAAGCACAGCAGCAGGCGCGCTCCAATGCAAGCCTTTCCCAAGGACTCTCTCAACAATTCACTGGGTGGTGCCGGGCCTCTTAATCGGAACCCGGATCATGCCACTTTCTTGGGTCACGGCACAGATGAAGCATTCCGCGATTACTCTGGCGGCACGAAGAACAAGAATGGATACAACTACCCAGGTGGCTCAAGTGCAGAGCCAGCGATTTTTGATCCCATCGCTCGTGGATCCCTGGTTCATGGAGATGAAAGCTACGGCTTAGGTACCTCTACCTTCCTCGAGGGCACACCTGCTGCACGAAGCGCAATCGTCCGAAGACAGGTAGAACAGCAGCAAGAGATTGTCGACAACGGTTTGCAACGCAAGAAGTCGCTAGCACAGCGAATTCGGCACATCAACAACAAACCCCGAGATTTTTCATCTGGCAGAATGACAAATCCCGACGCAGTATCCACCAAGCGATCCCCAGATGGCACGCCGTTTGCCTCTAGTGTAGGCTCCGAACCTAACCCTTTCTTCGCTGAGTTTAGCAAAGGTGAGGAGAGCATCAGTGTCAGACCTCGGGGCGGAGCAAAGTCCCCAGCCAGCCCACCAGCGATCCCCCGGAGGTTATCTGGATCAGCTCTGGAACGACGAGCCACTGCAGACGCGATGATGCCAGGGGAGGACAGCCCTCCTGCCAAACCAACTGGTATTATAGGTCGAATGAAGAGTTTGAAGGGTGGACGAAGGCCTAAGAATACAGACACCAACACTCAACTCGCAGGGTCTGGAATGGCAATCTAAACTGTTGCAGGGAAATGGTGGGAAAAGTAGGCATCATCGCAGCACTGACGCTATGACGCGATCTGTGCGGTACTGTCCGCCGTGACAGCAGTTGGAGGAGCTGCAAGTGACAGTGGTTCACACGTCTTCTGTCAGTGGTCTGGGAGAAGAGAAATGTGGTTTCTTGCGACGCCTGAAGCTCCAGCTCAAAACGGCTGTGCGCACTTGGCCGCAATTACCGGCAACCATGTGCGGGTTACGCAGCCTGCTACGATACTCAGCCGAGATAATTACTTGGCATCGGTGATATTCATTGTGTAAAGGCGTGGGAGGGAGTTTGGGAAGACGATAGAAGACTGGCGTACCTGGACCTAAATTGAGACGTCTGCAAAGCGTCAGTAGCAACTCGTGGTCATCTGTCGGCCTTCGATAGATTTGTATGCACCGTCGGGATCAGTTTCTTATCTTGTTGGGCTTTCTTTGAGATTGGAGGAGAGGGCACTTCCATGTGCGAAATACTTGGCAGATTGCTATGAGTAGACGTTTATTTTAAATTATGCTGAAAGTGCATCATCAGACACATTTTGGGCTGTTTACTACTGTGCAAGGTGAATGCTCGCCTAGATCCTTGCTCATAGTCACTCAAATGAAGTATCGTGAGACATGGCGCCTTGATGGCACGTTCAGCTAGCCTCCGAGTTTGTTCCAAAACAACATTTGGATCTGACCAAAAGACCAATTGAAATATGCTCTGATGACGAAGCACGCCGTGCAGGTACGAGAATTTCGACAAGGCATTGGCTGTGAAAGGCACACGGACATGCCCGCTCGAGAAAAATGAAGACCGACTAACGGCATCACCTTTTGGTAGCGATAATTTAAATACGATGTACAATGCTCGTCGAGTCTCAAACCCCTCCGAGTAAAAATACAACGTAGTTGCCCTTCCTTGCAACCCTTGCAGTTAGCCTTCATATAACTACTTAAGTACCAAGACATGACGTTGTCATCTTCCCGTCTTGGTATTGTCAACGTCTCCTATTGGCTGGGTCCGTCATGCAGCGTGTCGAACACAAGCTCCACCACCTGCCACATGAACTTGGCCTCGACATCAACATCGACTTTTTATCGACCGTGTGACCCAATCCGCGCTCTACATTCATCCAGTCCACGCAGTACGTGTAATATCATGTCCACGCATGTAGATTCAATGACGGGAAAACGGTAGCACGTCACTCGCCCAGCATGGACAGGCCACAACCCAAGCCCTTCCCCTTGGCTCCCGTGGCGGCGTCTATCCTCGCCGAACGAGAAACAGAGCGCAGGAACCATCTCCGCCAACTGGGGTATTTCAAAACAGCGTGTTCCGAAATCGACGATTACGTCCTGCTAGGTGGCCTAGAGAGGGGACACGTCGTGGGCTTGAGCGCAGAAGAGGAGTCCTTTGGGGTAGCCGTATGTTTCCCGCCTGCGCCTTGTTCGCCCCGTCTCGTTGTCTCTCGCCGTTGCTGACAGGGCCAGAAATGTAGCTTGGCCTGCAGGTCCTTTCCAGGGCGCTGCTCGAGCCCCGCCAACGGGCGCTGGTCATCACGCCCAAGCCGGCGGGCGTCATTCTGCGGTCGCTGAGGGACGGCGTCGCGGCCGAGCTGGCCCACGAGGGCGTGGCCCCGGGGGACGTCGAGCCGCGCGTGAGGGCGAGCCTGGACTGCGTCATGCTCTCGTGCGTGTTCGACATGGACGGCCTGTGGGAGGTCCTGGCCGAGCTGGACAGGAGGGGCCGGGCTTCCTCCCCCCCGGGGGGCCGTGTGCCGCCGTCGCCCGCTTCCGAGATTCAAGACAGCGAGGAGGACGAGGGGCCCTCGCCGCTCTCGCCGCCGCCGGCCGCGGAGTCGCCGCCCCCTTCCGTCATCCTCGTCACGCACTTCTCGAGCCTGCTCACGTCGCTCTTTGCCCGGCGCGAGAGGCCGGCCGCCCACGCGAACCTGTCCCTGCTTGCCTCGCGCCTGCGCCACCTCTCGCGCAGTCTGCCCTCGAACCCGCTCGTCCTCATCCTCAACTCAACCACCTCGTCTACCGACCCTCATGGGCCGGAACCAGGCAGGCACCCTTCTGCGGCTGCCGGCGGCGGCAGGCCGCTTGATCCCTCGCTCCGGTCGATATTCAACCCCCCGCCGCTCCCCATCCCCGGCTACGTGCCTACCTCGTCGAGGCGCAACAAGCCTTCGTTCGGGCTGGTGTTTACGCAGTTGCTCGACCTGCATCTCCTGGCTTCTCGGGTCCCCAGGACGGCGGAAGATGCAGAGGTCGCACTGGGGAGTACTGCGCTGGAGGCGAGGTTTGTTACCGTGGTGGAAGTGCTGTTGGATGAGATGGGCCTGTGGACGGGGAGGATGGGGAAGAGGCCGAATAGGGAGCAAAGATGGGCTGCAGTGCAGGTCGACGACGGGAGAGTCGTGGATGCGTTTGGGAAGCAGGAGATGGCCGCTGTGACGGAGATTCGTACATCTGGGGGGTTCGGGGGACGAAGGCCATAGCAAGGCTGTCATGTTACCGGCATCATTCATGGTCGCCTTTGGTTTGTGTTGGTTGCATGTGTTGTATGCAGACAGATACTTGACGACAAGGGCACACATGTTGCTTTCGCATTCCGAGCCGACTCTCGTAACAATGCTTCCGGAATTCACGCGCAAATTATATAAATCTTCTTTCCTATTAGGTTCCCCCTCCTTGAAACTTAAAAACCGCTCAATCGAAAAATGCCGAGTTTGCCTCGCAAGTCACGCGCAGTCGCTTAATTTGCCCTTCCAATGTACAAAACCAACCCAGCCGTAAGTCCTCTCACCCCCCCTGCCTGGCACTTCGCCCCCTTCAACTCGTCTACCTGGTATAGCCCTTGAGATCTAAACCTCCACCCTCTCCCCTGCGTGTCTCCGTCGTCTCCTGCCAAAACTATGGGCAAGGGACGCAACACCCCCGTGGACCTTCTGCCTTGAACAATAAATAGAGCGATGTCCGTTTGGAAACAAACTCCTCGCTGCTATGTATGCGTATGTGTGGGAAATAAAAAAAAAACACAAAAAGATAACAACAATACCTGCACAGTGGCATAGTCACAGTTCCACTTTTGTCTCACAGCACTTTGCGCCGGTGCCCAGCTCCTTGCCCAGCAAGAAGCTGGCCGGAAGAATGAAAGCAAGCCACCAAAGTAAACAACGTAAGACTGCAGGTTCGTCGTCGTGCTCTCGGTCCAATAATGAAAAGAAAAGAAAAAGAGGCCGACGCGGGCGAGAAGAGATGCGGATGCGATAAAATTAAAGAGTCGGCTCTCCCAAACTGCAAGTGATACAAGAAGGAGTCGATTGTCTCTTTTCAAAAGGGGCGGTGATTCTACTCTATAAGTCGTCGGTGTCGGAGTGCAAAGAATACCGTATCTCGTTTGGAATATCAAGAACTGCTTAGATGCGGGGGAGAAGACGAAGGGCCGCTCAAGATTTGGGATTTTCGGTCATTCTTCCAGAAATCAATGGCTTCGACAACGTCCTCTCCCCGCTCATCTTCGTATGCAAATAAAATCTGAATAGCATGTTAGCGTTATACACATGGAAATACGCGAATTGTCGTCCTCACCTCATGAGTACTGCTGTGAAGCATACGAATGTTCTTGTGGGGCACAATATGCACTGCACCGTTTTCAATATTGCGTAATTCGATAAAGTTGGGTTCAAACGCAAGGATCCAGGGGTAGCTGAGTGCAAAGCTTAGGGGCGATCCCTCCCAGTCAATCCGCCACTCGGGTCTTGCTCGCCAACCATTGCGGTTGACAAAAAACGAGAATTCAGAGTAGTTCAGTAAGAATTCTCCATTGAGACGCTCAATATGAATCGGCTTGGCATTCTCTTTGCGTGCTACAAAATCAAGAGAAGTATCTGCCTGATCCAGAAGTGATTGCGTCTCCAGAGTCTCGAGGGATACAACCTCGAAGCCTCGCGCACATGCAACGCATAGCTTCGACTTGAGGAAGTGAACTGACGACGACTCTGTGGGAATGTAAAACTCCTTGAATGGTCGAAGTTCGTCATGGCCACCGGCTATGAATTTGCCAAGGCCCTTCTGCTTTTTACCCTTGGTCATAGCGTCATTGGGCTCAAACACCTTGATAGTAGTTGACAATGCGGATGATTTGACACAGCAGACGAGATGTCGACCCAGGCAGATACCCGTCTTGAAGAAGCTGCAGTGGTTCTGGATCTTCTTCGGTCGCTTGCTCATGGCAGGCTCATCGGGGTTGAGCGCGGAAAGCGCGTATGACTGCAATGTCTTGTTGGATAACACCAACAGGAGTTGGTATTCTTCCAAGATGTCGATCTGAGTTACGTTGGGGGTTTCCAACACTCTTCTTGGGATCTGTGCCTTGTTCTTACGGTCTGATAGATAGACGCCGTTGTCTGTACCATAAAGAAGCTTGCGACCGCCATCTGCAAAAAATTAATCGTCAGTTTCATGTCACAGGTCAAAATCCTATCAACAACACAGCATTCCTTGACATACCGAACGGCATAACACAGTTGACATGGTTCGTGCCCACAAAGAAATTGCTCGAAATGACCGTCGTGTTGAAAAAGTCGGCACGAGCACGAAGTCGCTGCTGGGCATTGGCAATGAATTCCAACCACTTCTTCCGCGCTGCCTGGTTTGAAGCATAGAGGGTCAGCTCGTAGCCTGCCTTGCCTAAATGACGGAATGTAATCGGCCAGCCTTCACCCTTCCTCGTTTCGGCATTGTTTGCTCTGATCGATGGAATCAGACCAGACGATGAACGCTTCATTCCTTGACCAGGTATAACCTCATCCATTTCCCGGATGGCCAACAGTTCCAGCGGGATAGGACGTCGATAGGCTTTGAGTTCCTCGGTCTTGCCATTTTGCTTGATGCGGGCCAAAAGGACAGCGTGGTCGAAGAGGAATGCAGTAATCTCGGCAGGATCAGTGGGCGATTTCTTGAACTGGCTCTTAAACACCATCTCTCGTCCGTCTTCGGTAAGTCTGAGGTCAACTCGTTCCTGAGGCCGGAATTTAAGCTGTTCCTGAAGTCTTCGCAAGTTGAATCTATTCTCTGCCTTTCCAGACTCGGCATTGACTCTGCCCAAAATGTCTCGAATCATGGTTAAAACTTTGGGGATATCATCCTTATCAGGATTGCCTTCCTCCGTGTATTTCAACACATTCTCCAGCAGCAATGGGTATCGAGCGAGACGGGTGGTCGGCTTGGTAAGATAACCGTTGAGTTCCAGCTTTCTTGACTCCTTCCGTCGTTCAATTTCGTCCACAAACTTGGCGAAGAATGGATTCACGGATCGTTCATTCTCAAAATCAAATTTTCCTTCTAACTGCTTGGAACCGTAGTAAATAAATGGGTCGAATTGTGGTACGTAGTCGAGAAAGATGTCACCAATATTATGCACAATGGGGTTCTTTTGCTGTCGGCTTGTGAGGGACGAGGCAAATCGAGAGCTGACGGTATGGATACTCGGATGGTCAATGATATTGCTGAAGATGGTCTTGACAACCTTATCTCGGCGCTGTAACGGGATGGGCGAGGCCTTCGATCGCAGAGGTATAATCCAGAAATCGCGAAGATACTCAAGATCCTTGACAAAGTCTCTTTCAGTATAGCAAATTTCGGATATGACTTCTTGTCTTTTCTTTTCACGTTCACCGACTGCATCGGCAACTTCTTTCGGCACGGTATTGATCCAAAGCTTCTGCTCGTCGGTTTGGTCGACCTCGTCGTCGTTGATCACTGCAGTATCATTTTTTCGGAGGCCGGAGCTCGCGTTCAGGTTCAGCCTAGAAACCTGTTCTAACCGTCGTGGACAAGCAATCGAGTAGCAAAGCTGATCTCTTGTGCAGGTGGGGGAGTAGCATTCGGTCAGCAGCACAAAGACACCATTAACAGGGGGCTTTTCCTCGGGCTCCTCCATAAGGGTTTCTTTGAACTGATACATTTCGGACTGCGAGTCTCGCAGCCTGTGCTCGTATGTTACATCGTGGAAGAACTTTTGAGCATCTAGGGCACGACCAAGCAGGAGGGCCAAGTTACGATCGGTGGTGCGGATGATATATGATAACACGTCCACCGCCTCTGAACCGCTGAAGGCATTCTTGTACGTCAGTTCATTCTTGGTGCGGTCCCCAGTAATGATTTTTCGTCGGAAGCACTCAGCGACTCTTGAGAGCAGTGCCGGATAAACAAGCGGAGGGCGAATCTTGGTGGCGGTGGATGGCCGATCGCTCTCGACGGACTTGCTCCTAGAGGGTCGGCTTACGAGCGTCATGGTGTCGGATTCGGAAGGTGTAATTGTAGAGGCTGCGGTGGAAGCCATAGACATAGTCCTGGCGTGTTCTGGGAAGCCAACAGACGAGGCCATACTGGTGGTTCGTGTCTGGGATCCCGGGGCAGTATGGTAGCCTCCGTTGGGGGCATACCCATTGGACATTGACACGTCACTTGGCGCCCTCCGGTTTGGAATGATGCGGCCGCTCATTGTTTGGTGAGAATCTCGATCCATGGGGTGATAAGAGCCGGTCATTGACATGGAACGGTCGTCATGATGGCGTTCGGGGACAACCCGGCCCTGTGCTGTTGTCCTGGCTGAATTGTGATTAGAGTAGGCAGCTTGACGAAATTGATTTGCCGGCGATTGCTGGTATGAACTCGGAGGCGGCTGATACATTTGCGGCCGGGGAACAGATGCTAGAGACTGTGAGCGATAAGGGTCGCTATTCATTGCAGGCCGTGGGGGCCCTTGATATCCGTTCTGAGGGCCATATCGCGCGCCTGCAGCCTGCGGTGGCGGACCTCGCGACTCCATCCGAGGAGGGAGAGGGCCGCCGGGGCCCTGATATGGTCGTCTCGGCTGGTGTTGCTGAGCGTATTGTGACTGTGATGAGGGCGGTGGGTGCCCGCCCGAAGCCGCTCTCGACCCCGGATAGTAGCCGCCTCCAGCATTTGGGTCACTTGGTACAGGTCTTCGTTGCATGGGTTCTCGCTCGCCGTAGTAACCTTGCTGTGGTCTCGGCGGCGGTTGACGTGGCATGCCAGAAGCCGTAGAAGACATGGTCTGCGTTCTCTCCGGCTCCATGGGGGGGCCGGCAGATGACGACGTCATTGTCTGTGATCGTCCCGGGGGAGGAGCACCACCAAAGATATTGGAGTATGCGGCATCTCGTTGGTAATTGTTGGAATCGGGATAACCACGAGGGGGCGGCGGCCGTTGCTGAGCTCGAGGATCATACGGGTGATATTCAGCCATGATGTAACTCTGCTCAAGGGAGTTACCCCAGAGAAGGATCTCTATCAGTACAGACGTCAATATACCGTGGGCAAAAGGGCTGCCAGGGCAAGGAGCAGTCGCCCACAGGGGTGAATGGTGAACTACACAGGAGTGTTTGTGCGGTTGGATCTAAGCGTGAGGAATTGGGTGCAAACTGACTGGAAGTAGCCTTCAGAAGCGGCCAGCTGTGGAAAGGAGAAACAAAATCACCAAGCGCAGCTGATGCCCAGGCCGCCAAGGTCAGTCAAGCGGGGATCCCAAGGAGACGAGAAGCACGAGTTCTGATGCCGCTGTCGACGTTGGCAGGCAGGACGCGAGGGCTTCGTGGGATATGTCGAGGATGCGCACGAGGGAGAACGCGAGCCACGAGGCCGGTGTGCACTCGTCGAGGGCTCAAGTGAAGTGGTGCTCACACGGGATAGGGCGTGATATGCCGCGGTCCACGCACAAGAGTAAGTTGAGTAATGCGTTGAGCGAGCCCAGAGCGTTGCCCAGAGCGTACCGGCGGGAGGTGGCGCGGTGAAGTGAGCGGCGGCAGCAGCAGCAACGGAGAAGAGATTGTCGTCGTGGAGTGTAGCCTCGCTGGCCCTCGTTTCGATGTCGTCGACCACTTGAGCAGGCCGAGTGGAAACAGGTCGACGTTGGACCAGGGCCGGAGGAGCAAGCCGGAGGAGCAGCACTAGCGAAGCGGCGACAATCAGCAGCGATCAAGTCGGAGCAGCTCGAAGATTGACGGGACGGTGCTGGGCCAAACGCTGCTGCTTGGGTCTGGTTTGGGCTGACAGGGCTGCTCACGTCGGCTGGCTGTGTCGGGGTCAATGGCTGTTGGCTGTGTCCTCTGTGCTCTCTGTGCTGGCTGGCTGGCTGGGCGCGGCTCGGTGGACGAAGGGTGGTCTCGAGAGCACCGCACACCAGACATGCAACCATGGGACTGGGCCGTCAATGGGCCTTCAATGTTGAGTCTGTGTGGGTTCTGAAAGGCCTCGCCTTTGGCTGGCTGTTTGGGACCTGCGACTGTGGATTTGGTGGAGGGTGGAGGGTGCACATGTGGAGCCATGAGGACTGCGGACTGTGGATTGTGGATTGCGGATTGTGGAATTTGCACGAGACTGGACTGCCAAAAGGTGAGCCAGCGACATTGAACTCTGCATCCAATCGACGGGTCCCTCGTCCCCTTGCGAGACAGAGCCATCAGGCCAATTCTCAATGCTACTCTTCCTCGCAGCCCACGAACGAAGCTGTGTCTCGGAGAAGCGGGTATCAAGGTGTGCAAATTGGCCAATGTGAGCTCGCCGGTGCTCGACGGGGCAACGTCCACGACGACGTCTGGGGGATACAGTCCACATTGCAGGAGTATTATTACTGCGCCGGGCGTTGTATCGACCGTTGCATCAACGTTGGAGTTATACATGCGACGACGACTTTTCCTTCTCCTCCTCTCAAATCTGCATGCTCGGGAGCCAGCCCAAATCAAATTCGCATTGGGGACGAGGCGCAGGGCAACTCGGAGTTCGGAGCGCCCAAGCTGGTCTCGAAGCTCCATGTCGGTTTGATGGGGGGGGGGGAGCCAAGATGAATTCGCCTTCGTTTAATCATACATGTATGCTCCTGTTGCGGTGCTGCCCGGTATCTCATGGGCTGTACAACTGCAGACAGAGCGAGTAAAACGTCAGCCCAAAGACACCTGCCGTGACGGAATCATGTCCAATCTAGGGATTTACAGACTACGGAGCAGCATGTGCCCGGATTGCAACAAAACAAACCACCATCCGCTGGCAATATATATCTCACCTTTGCCCCCCAAATGGCGCCGCCGCCACACGGATAGCCCATTGCCGAGCATCCACAGCTGCTAGATGTACGCATCCCAAGGATTTCTGAGCAAGACGCTACCGAATCTACATATCCCACGTGCACCCTTTTGAGTTTGTCTCTTGGCTGTGTTGCGCTGTGCCTGCTCTTCCCCCCGACCATCGAGTCTCTATGCCCGGGGCTGGGTTTGTCAAGAGCCAGCAACACATGTTGCACATTCAACTCCAAAGGCTCAATGACGGGATTAAATTTCAACGGGAAGAGTATCTGAGGTGCTTACACTCTAATATAGATAGTACTCTCAAAACCCTTTTCTTTTCCCTACCGAGGGTGTGGAATTGTAAGCGGAACTGGAAAAGGCATATGCGGCAACCAACGCCGTCGAAACCAACTGGACATTTACTAATTAACCAGGCAGTGCAGATTACACGTCAACTTTTACGGAGTCCAAGTCCCTTCATACTGGTCTTCGAAATTCTATCAGACAGGGTGTTGATGCCAAAATGCACCGTAAACTCGTCCACATCAGACCACAAACAGCTTAATGCTGGGTGCAACTGCCACCCCAAGTGCAGGCTATCTCTTTTCATCTCGGCCCATGCGCAGGTATTGGCTGCATCACGGCAGGGATGAGCACATTGCAGGAGGTAGCGCTGTCAAAATGTCCCAACTTTCTACTCCCGGTCTGTACGGAGTAATACCCTCAGAGTAAATGCGCCCTGGTCAATCCCGGGAACGAAATGCTTCGTCCGATCCTGGAATAAATTCGGACACCTTGGTCCCTGGCGCCTGTCCCTGGGCTCATCTCTACTTTTGCATCATAAGCCTGTTCCAGATGCCAAATTTATAAAACAAAATAAAAAAATAAAATAAAATAAAAAAAAGAGCGCTGTCTCTCAATACATTATACTTCATTCAAACATCATAATGTCACAATACGACAAATCTGACCAAAACTTACGTCTGAATTGACCTTCTCTCCATGCCACACAGAGCAACGTCAACAGTCCATCACCCGCTGCCAGATGAACGGCATCACGTGCGCGGTCACGCCCCGCCCATCGTTCATCGTTCATTGGCCTACCAGCTCCTGAGAGCTGCCTAGCCAGGAACGTGTGCCTGGCGTGCCATCACAACGGGCTTCATCAGAGCGCAGAGCTCCTCCACGCCCAGTTCAATCTCGGAACAACCGCTCCTCCAACGCCCAAAGCCCCCATTTCCATCCCGCCCATCATGGAGTCTGAGCTCGCTCCCAAGTTTGCCCCCTTCATTGGGATGGTAAGTCTTTCCACCAGACACGCATCGCCCTCCCGCTCACGAACTCGGATGCTAATGCGCCAATGTAGGCTGGCATCGCAGCCGCCATGGTCTTCGGATGTAAGACGGACGCGGGAACCGCAACAGCCTTCCGAGCGTTATTTGAAATTCTAACACGGGACGTGCATAGCTATCGGCGCCGCGTACGGCACAGCAAAGTCCGGCATTGGCATTGCCGGCGTGGGAACATTTCGCCCCGATCTCATAATGAAGGTTCGTTTCCCCCCGGGTGCCGAACCTATATCTCCTCCCGTCCCCTTTGAAGCAATTCAAGTATATTAAGTCACACTTTCTCACAGTGTCTGATCCCCGTCGTCATGTCCGGCATCATCGCCGTCTACTCGCTCGTCATATCGGTCCTCATCGCCCAGGACCTCGCGCCTCCGTCTGCAAACGAACGATATGCCCTGTTCTCGTACGTAAAACACTCCCGGGCGCTGACCAAGAGTTCGCGTCTAACATGTGGTTGCTAGGGGCTTTATGCATTTCGCTTGCGGCCTGGCAGTCGGCATGACTGGCCTGGCTGCGGGCTATTGTATCGGAATTGTGGGCGACAAAGGCGTCCGCGCCTACATGGAGCAGTCGAGAATCTTTGTTGGCATGGTTCTTATTCTGATTTTCGGAGAGGTCCTCGGTCTTTACGGGTGAGTGATTTGGCAGAGTGGTCATGTGTTCAAGTAGCTCTGGACTAACGGACGTTGCAACAGCCTCATTGTCGCCCTTTTGCTTAACTCACGAAGCAAGGGCTGATTGAACTGCTTTTTTTTCCTTTGCTTGAATCTACAAGCCAAAACAATCCACATCTTGTCTAGTGTATTGTACACACCGACTAAAGTTACCCGAGGTGAGCGAAAGCACGTTGGAGGACAGCGGAAGAAATGTCTTATTACTTGCATGGGGCATGGCGTTTATTGGGACGTGTACATTTATCATTGCAGGTAGATCAGGCACACGCTAGTTGATTGTTATGCGATTTATCACTGTATCATTTCCTAAAAGTATGTGTTGGTACAGCTGTTCTTTTCACAGGTCACATGCTACGCAAACATCAGTTGTGTGGTTAGACAGCAGTGTAAGAGAAGTTGAATTCACTAATGCATAAAATGCCAGTTACCCTCCGTCAAATGTTCGTGTGCGTGAGGAATTGCTTGTCCCCGACGATGAATGCAGCCCAGGAGAAAAAAGATTCGCCAAGAACTAAATGGTACCAATCTACAAGAAAAAACGCCGCCAGATGCATCATGGATTTCTGAAAAGAAAAGAAAAATATGCCAGGATAAAGGAGTGGAATATGCTCCAACCAGTGGAGTTTTGGGGGAAGAGTGAACCACGAGAAAGCATCAAGCGCCGGTACCAATATTTTCATATTCTAAGTTGGCAGCAGCCGACCACCAATACGACGAAGCAGCTTTTTACGTTGAGTGTGTTCGACCTCGCGGCGGAAACGAGCCCAGTTTCTCTCGCGCTCGTCCCAGCTCCTCATTTGGGCTGTAATCGGTTGTTAGCGGGGATACTCTCGCACAATCAAGGACGCAAATAGACCTATTGCTCACCAAGAAGCCAGTCCCACTGCCTATCCTCTCGGACAAGAATGTCATCACTAGATTCACGGGCCAGTCTTTCACGACGGGCCTGTGCTGCCGCTACCTCGCCGACAAGGTACGGATCTTCCAAGGGGCGTGCCTCTGGAGCGGTGTCCGTCCCGTTATTCAAGGCTCTATCATTGGAGTTTTGGTGTCTCAATGGCTCTGCCGGTCCCGTGTATCGACCGGAAGTAATTCGGCGCTCAGCTACATTCCGGTAGTGGCGAGCCGCTGGGCCATTGTTGGCGGACCAGGTCGGGAGGTGAAAGTTGTGGATTGACATGGCACCTTGCGGTGCCACTGGGGGTAGAGGGGGCAGGCCTATGGTCTGCTGCCGAGTCGATGAAGTTCCGTGACGGCCAGGGGCGAATAAAGGAGCAGTAGCACTTGTTGCCAAAGGGGCTGCCCTTGGAGCTGGTGGGCTATAGGGCGGAATTGCTTCATTGTGATTGTAAGGGAGGGTGTGGTAAGATGGCGTATCCGATACTGTATTGCGAATTGTTAAGCCTCAGAACGCGTACGAAGCTGGCTAGAGACTCTCTTACCATAAGAAGGGGCAGCCGAACGAACAGAGGCAGTCTCAAAGTCCTCAGCGCTGTAACGCGGACTCGTAGGCGGTCCTGTCATGACGAGCAGATGGGGTTGAGGACTGTTAGAAAGGGCAAGGTATGAATGATCCCGACATGAGTCCGGTTACTCTCCAACGTATATCCAGGAAGCGCGCCGTCTTATTAATGAGCTGACAGTCGGAACGTAATTGTTGTATACAACGCAGTTGGGCGATCAAACACCAGAAGCCTTGTTGGTTGGTGAAGAAGTGTTGTTCAGTCTAAGTTACTGGCCAGTGATACAAAGACCAGGTAGACCAGGTAGACCAGGTAGACCAGGTAGACCAGGTGAATGGCGATCCCGGGGCGTTTCGACCGGGAATTAGGTACCTCTGCGTAGGTAGTTTCGAGCTTCCCACGATCGAACACACGGTGTAGGTAACGGCCACCAGGCAGGATCAGAAAAATGATTCCCTTGTGCGACTTATCACGAGCACCGCACGTGAGTGTGTCCAACCAGCGTCTACGGCGTTTGTCCAAGTCTGGGGGATTTGGGGAGACCCTCGAGCAAGATGTCCGGTTCAACAGATTCTATCACGTAGTCGTCAGGTCCAGAAGGAAGGAATGACGTGGATACCTAATATGGGGCTACGAGAAGAAGATGAGGGGATAACAAGAAAGGACATCACTGGGAAGTCATGGTAGGGCGAGGCTCATGGTACCTTATTATACCACAACCCCGGACAGCTGCGTCCAGAAATGTGGAAGGGCATCGGTTCTTGACAAGGGCTCAAGCTGGAGAAGGTACATACATACATTGTAGGTCGCCTGTCGCTTGGCGACATGACGAGGGTTTCCATGGCTGAGGCCAGGCCCCGAATAAGCAAACAACCCAGCGCCATTTTTGAACGACGCTGGGCATGGACAAAACGGGTCATTTCGGGCTGTCCTTGGGCCTATTAGCTCTCGCTGGAGGCTCGGTACGGGTGGTTTGCTTTGCCCGAAGAAACAATCGGCTTAGAGACGTCTGCGAGTCCGTTTCTCGAAGGCGTTAGCTGGTTGCATGTCATCGACCGACCCAGTCCACACTCCTCGGCGGGGTAATATCGTTATCGTAGCCAAATCACAGCCACATGCTGTGGAGGAACGCCGAGGGGGGGCGTTGAGAACCTCCAGAACGCTGGCGGCCCAGACTCAACAGATCAATTGATGCCACCCATGCATGTCTTCCGATGCGTTAGTGAGGTACCGCGGAGCTAAATGGAGCCTCCAACCGCTATCACGAGAGGTTGGTGGGTTGTGGTAGTGAAGATCGGCCTGAGTGTGGCAGCAGCCAAAAGTGGCGGGCAGCCAGAGGCAACTTCATAGTGCCACCGTTCCCTCTAACACGTACTGCCTCGCATTTGAGGCCTCTGCATGACGCTGGTTGGCACGTCTCAAACAACACAGTGCATGAGTGTCATGACAGAATGTCTAAGTTGTGTATGTATTCCTCAAAGGGGCTTGTGCTGCTCTTTCCGTGCCACGGCACTCTGCGTACTCCGCATTGTGCGCAATACGCAATCCGCGGGCAAGACTGCAATCCAAGCATCCAGGGTTAAAGAAGGTTCAAATGCAACATTGAACATTGAAGCGAATCGTTTGTTCCCGCACCCTAGAACGACAAGGCCCACTGCTTCCACAGTGGAGCCCCCAGGGAAGTGTCTTGCAGCTAAATGAGGCTATGTGAGCAGCGCCCGCGAGGACTTGGCAGGCTTCATTGTCCACTGCTGCTGAACATGGAAACTGGATGTGGGCACATCAGCTCCATGCCTCACACGGTGCTGCCCTAGCCGGTGAGAATCTATGATGTAGTTTGGCGGTCACCATCAAGGCGGTATCGACGGCAGTCGCTTGTTCAGAGAAATCGCCGTCATGCTATTCCAAATCTGAGTTTCACGCTGTCCTCGTGCCGCATTTCCCACTAGATGGATGCGTTGCCAGACCACACGATGGCGAAGGCGCCTACATGTGTTGCGCCCCCCTGGCTCGATTCTTTGCTCTTCTGGATGTGCCAGAAGTTCCGCTTTGCGCAGCCATGCGACTGATGAAAATGCCCGTCCAATCGACGTTTGCTCTTTGTTGCAGCCAACATGGCAGCCTCTCCAGTCTAGTTCCAGTTCCATGTTTGGAGCGTTGCCACGCGTCCACTGTAGGCGCCTTACTGGCTACCCGGTGCTCAAAGAGAGAATTGATCCAACGTTGCCTCGATGCGCTTACATGTTAGTCTTCGCCAGCACAGGAGCTGGTAGAGGAATTGCAAATATACAGATGTGGCTGCAGAATGTTGTGAGATATGCTCACCAATCTTGCTAGCTTCTGACGCATCGCGATGCGTTCATGGCGTATTACGTCGTTTGTTGCGGTTCTCTAGCTTGTAACGGAGTACGACCAGGCACACTATGTTGGTGTCACTAGTAGAGCCCTACTTGATATAGTGCTTGCACCATCACTTGGATAAGTCAAAAAGCTTGAAAAAAGAAGAAAAAAAAATAACCTTAATTAAAACGGTACCCGAGGCGTCTCTGTCCCGAAAATTTTGGCGGTTTGAATCGCGATTGATAGTCTTCTGAGACGGGTCGATCTGCGTTTCGTGCTCTGTTTGTGCGTGATGAAACAAAGTGAGTGATTGTTTTGATGTGATACGCGATGCTGAGTGGCCAAGGCACATGCAGCTCTGTCTGAGCGCAAGGCATATCAATGCAGCCCTCTGGGCACAACTCAGCTGGAGCCAAGAAAGCCTAGCTATATTTGACCTGGGACAGTACATTGACAGCACTGATATCAGCGAGGCGAGCGAAGTTCAGAATATCCTATGAGTCATGTTGTCATGGTATTGCATTGCCAGCTCATACTCCGTACAGCTGGATAAATGTTATGCTGTAGCACTGGAATTGCTTGCAAAGTATACAAGCAAGCGAGTATTGTGCTGTCGATAGACGTAAGGATACGGAGTGCTTGGTAAGGTAACTACTTAAGTAAATACCTAAAGTAGGTAGCTAGGGTAGATTAGGTAGATGGGCTGTTGACCAGAAAGTAATCTCATCAAATATACCAATACTATGATCAAAATAATTGCAGCACAGAGGATGGGAGAGATCCGCACTCAGCCTGCTCAGCGTGTAGCCTGGTACCCAAACCCAGGTACAGTGGTGTACTTGTACTGTCTGCATGTGGACAATGGAGGGGCACCTTCCGCGTGGTCGTTAATTGGCAGAACCTTCAAGCGCGTCTCCCCAACGCGTTAGCCAATACACACAGTCTCGTCCGTGCAAACTTACTGCTTCTGACAGGACCAAACGACGTCGAAACAATCGCGCGTGGGAGCTTGTACGGACCCTACGAAGTCGAATAACTCAAAGTTTCAAATAGCAATAAGCAACGCTGCTTCTTTTTAGCAGCGATCCGCCTTTGCAATGCCAATACGCGTCGGTGGACGGTCCGGGGACAACCATTCTCAGAGGGCATCACCATCCCCTTCGCAAACACCAACTTCCACGAGGCGTGGCCTAGCGGTCCGACAGAAGCTTGACAGGCGAAGTGCGTCTGGAACTAAAAGGAAGCGAACAAATACCGTCACATCAGAACCGCTCAGTACCCGCCGGAGAACTCTGGACGCAGGGACCGATGAAGACAGTGGCCCAGGCGAAAGCGACTTCGAAGATGTTTATGATCCTGACCAGCCCCTTCAAGAACGCCGGGTTGTGCAACAAGGGCTGAGAGATCTTCTAAAGGGAATTTCCGAAAACTCGGAGGAATTCTTGAAAGGCGACTCACGGGGCTTGCACGAGACCATTTTGAAAGCCAATGAACTCTCCAAACAGTTGAAACAGACCACCGAAGCCACAATCGATTCACGCCTGCTCGTGAGCACCACTGATCTGTCTTATCGAAAAACGTTGCGTCTCACCCAGGGCAGCCTTTCGCAAGGTATAGATGTGGATGAACTTGTTTCCAAGGCGATCACATATATGCGACAGGGTAGTGGGATCGCCGATGACAATGCGCCAGAGCTATCGAGCACGCAGCGGCAACGCAGAACCGTATCACGGCGCAGGGGTCATGGCGATGATGATGACGACGACGACGACGACGAAATAGGAGATGAGGGCGACATGATGAACTGGCCGCACCTTGGCCATTTTGCTTGCTTGCCACATATTCGACGACCCGCCGTTCCAGGATTCCTATTAGGACCAATGTCTGTTGAGAAGAAAGCCCGCAAGATTGCTAAGCGGACTGCTCCCTTTCGACCCAATAACTTGACAGAGACTCGACCCGAGGTGCTCAACGTTGAGGAATTAGCAAAGAGGGAGAATGATTTGACGGCGATATGCGGCAAGATTTTACAACATTTGCACAAAGTTCAGATTGAGACACAAAAAGTCGTTGAAGATTTGATCGACGATGATATGGAAGCGGATGAACAAACAAGAATTATGCACCAGCACGGGCTTCGCAGCACTGGAGGAATAGATTTGATGCGTTTTGTTGTCAACCCAAAGTCTTTTGGACAGACGGTTGAAAATATATTCTACGTTAGCTTTCTCATTAGAGATGGGCGCGTCAAGGTCGATTTTGACGAGTTCGACCTTCCTGCATTAGGTACGTTCTATGAACATGTCGTCCAAGTAGTGACGTGCGGCTGATACGAACGCCCTCAAACTAGAACCTGTTGAACGGGAGCCAGAAGATGACGGAACCCAACGTCATGGGGCGTCAAAGCACCAAGCAGTAATATCCATGGATGAAGGGATTTGGCGTCAGATTATAGATGTGTTCGACATTACGGAGCCCATGATAAGTCATCGGAGAGAGACTACACATTCTGGGCCGGGTGCTCGTGGTTGGTATAGCTAATGTTGGGTCTTGGTGTCAATATTTGGGCATGGCGAAAAGGTTTTGTATGAAAGGGCTTTGTGCACAAATGTACAGTGAATGATGGTGGAATGAATAGATCACTTGTGTCTTGCTTTTTGGCAAGCACGGATATACGCTTAGCGTTCTGGCCCATGCTCTCGATACCACAAAGATGAACATTGTTTTTTGCCGGAAAAGATGGATCTCCTTCTTGAGTTTCGCTTGCAGAGCCTTTGCTACGGACGGTATTATGGCCATGAAGCGCCTCGGTCTGCATTCACTTGTCCTTTGTTTTCTCTTCTAACACTCACTGCTCAGTCAGGCTGGAAAGGAATGTGAATGCAGTTAACAAAGGCAATCTCAGGGAATTTGGTCGGTTGGTGCTTCCAATCAAACCAACATTCATCCGATGAGACGGCAACGCTCTGTTTAATTTAAAGACTCAGAAACGCTCACCCACTCTTCTTGTTGTTCTGGACTTGCGATCAAAATGTCGCATCACCCGAAACTTGCTAAATCGTCACGACAATCAAAAGACGAGAATGCCGACCAGCGTGGGCCAAGACAAGGACGACAAGTCGCCGGAGGAACCTCCTGCCAGCTCGCAAGGACTCTCTGCGTCGGCACTTGCTGGGGATGACGATGCTAATAATGCCCACTTGAAGAGAGCTTGGCCGGAGTTTACGTCGGAGCCTGGCGAAGAGTCCAGGTCCAAGGTTCAACGCCCGTACGACGGCGGAGACTAAGCAGAGCCAAAAGTTGATCTCGACACTAGTCCTCCTGAAAGAGTTCAAATCGAAGTCGACCCCAGAAACAGCAGAGATTCCAGAAGCGCCGCCGAGACTTCAACCAACACTACGCAGCGACATGACCCTGAATATTTCAGGGAATCCTGGACGAACGTCCAGAACGCCATGAACGAATGCGCACCTGATCTACACCACTTGCGACACAATGAAGAGCCCATGTATTTGAGGCGGGAGGACTTCGAGCTTCCTGCGAATCTGTGCAAATACACATCAGACTTGGTGTCGACGGCCAAGGGGGCGGCGCCGGATCCGCAACCTAACGACAGTGATACAGTCGAGGGTCTAAAACGCCTCGCTCTGGCTCAAAGGACTCTCATTGAGCATATTTCCAAGCCTCTGGAAATGCTGCGCTTTTACGTCGACGCATGGCATCTCAGGGCTGCTGATGATGAGAAAAGACCAGGGGCTGACGTGGGACTCGATCCTACGGTTCCAACACCACGACAGGCTGAGATGGAGGCCTTTTTGGACCTTACACGCCAGCACAACAAACTGAACGAAGAATATGCTCAACTATGCGTACATGCCCGGCGGCAGCGACCAGAGCCAACGTCTTCGAAAACTAGGCCTTCATGGGACTGGCCGCAAGCAAAGAGAGTGTGTCCTGCCTGTCGCCAGAAGTTTGAGATACAGGCCAAAGAAAAAGAAGAGGGGGAAGGAAAGATATGCGTGAATGCTTCCGATGAGGAGGATCAGTCCATCGCCTCGTCTCCTATGCTGTCTGTCCCATCATCGAGAAATGGAAAGCCGGTCGCGGTGGGAGGTGCCATGACAGAGTACATGGCCGGGCTGGAGGAGTGGACGGATGAAGCGGCTACATTCAGTGAAGAGCAGGCCAGACTTTTACAACAACCGCTCTACATATCCCCTACAGATTCTCCGAGGAACTCTGTCGCACAACTCCAAGAGGAACCAGAAATACTGGAATCCACGCCGCTTTATCCTCTGGCCCCAAGCCCACCTCCGGCCTCAAATGCTTACACGAGAAGACGTCGCACCGACGCAGAAGGGGAATCTCAGTCGCACTATGTTCCTGATGACACGTCTTCGGTTGCAAGCTTCCCGGAAAGTTACGGCCTACACCAAGAAGACTCGCCACAGTCTAGGCGTGAACAGTACTGGGAAGATTGCTTACGCCAGGAGTGTAAGAAGAAGGAATACTGGAGGGGGATGTATGACGAGTTGGCAGAGAGACATGAAAACGCAGCCAAGAGCAATGAAAAGTGGGCGAAACTGTATAACTGCCTGGCTAGGCGGTGGGAAAACCTGACGGAGATGCATGAGGAGACCACCACGAGGTTTGAGAGGGAAATGCACATTCACAACACAGTGATGGAGGTATATGTTACAAACGCGGTCGAGGTGGATTGGACACGAAGCTCAAGCCAGTCAAGGAGCAATGACAGGAGGAGCATGTCACCACCGCTGAGCCCCAGAGGAACACCATCTCCAATGACTGTTCCGACGTCATTGGACTCAACTGAGGCTAGCCAATGGGCAAGTATTGAGCCTAGAGCTTGTGGTACTGCTTCTCAGCGAGCCCAGGGCACGGCTGGGGTCGAGAAAGGCCCTGTTGCTACTGCTCGACCTCGAAATGAACCTCAGAACAAGTTGTTTCAGGCAGAGGCCGCGATGGTTCGCGAGAGACGAAGTGCGCCCGGAGTTGCACAGGCATTGTCCTTTTCAGACTTTGTCGAAAACCAATGCCGGTCGTGGGTTGCCATCTGCGACTTCCTATGGTCTTTCATCCTCCCAGTGCGGCAACCAGCCATCCTGGTATCAAGCGCAGATGGTTCTTCTTCGCCAATACAAGTCTCTCGACAAACGGGCCGCAACGCTGAGATGAGCATGCCGTGGAGTGCTTTTTTCAACGTACTCACCCACATCGTCTTACTATTCGGTATCCAAACCTGGATCGCGTGTGCCAAGGAACGAAACACGTGGTTGCACGCAAACAACATCAAGCCAACGACTTTACTCTCCATGTATGCTCGTGGAGAGAGGTCCTTTTGGCCAGGCCTGCATGACGGACTGTTGACGGGCGCAGAGGTGAGTATGCTGGCGAAGTGGATTCTCTTGAATTCGCGACGTGTTTTGGAGCTTTTGGCCCGGGTGGTGCAGGGACTTGATTTGGCTAATCAAGAAAGCATGAGGGTTTTGGTGCTCGGGGCTGTGGTGTTGATGTTTGCGAGAATTGGATAATATGTAACTATGGGGGTGGGTGTTGGTACAGCCCAATACTGTGTTACCAGATGTTGTGCCTGCACGATACTTGTATCATGCTTGTATTATCATTTGACATGAGAGGGAAGCAAAAAAAAAAGTTAATAAAAAAAGTTAATGGGGGTGAGTGTTGAGTCTGGTGTTTCTATGGGAGACGGAAGGAAGGTACGGAGTAATATGTGGAGTCAATTTCCCGACAGGCACAGAGTACTATAGGCATTATGTGCCTTGTACTTTGCACTTAAGGACATGACGACTTCGCTGCTGGCCCCGAGTTTCACTGAAGATACTAGTATTTCTATCAATGATATTTAAATCCCTCCACGTTACTCTGCAAATATGCAAGTATGCAAGTATGCAAGCGCCGTTCAATGACAATCAAAACGATACGCTACAGCAGCCATAGGCGGGTTCTAGATCCAAACGCCACTTTGCATGCGAACTGTCAGGGCGCCTCGCGTTGCACGGGAATCAGGCCATCTGCATAGCACTTCACCTGCAGTTCGCCTTCAAATCGAATGCCTGAGCCATCATTCGCCCCACGTACAATGCATATTTGGAGCGACATGCAAGCAAGCAAGCATTGTGGCTGCATCCACCACATCCCACAGATCGAAGCCGTCAAGGACAAACTCCAAAGGCCGACCCCTGCCTCTGCGCCAACTATTCCTCCATGTTTGGTCCGCATTCGTCCGCATTCGTCCGCGCCATCTGACACGACGAACGAGCCTGACACGATCAACCTGCGGCGTCAGTGTAATTTGATCAGACGGCAGCCCCGATTACTGCTACGTACTACTAACTGGAGCCTCGGCTCAGCAGACGGATTTGAGAGTTACAAATACTAATAACCGGCAGTGTCTTCCATGCTCGGACGGGCTCCACGGCGGCGGGCCCTTGTACGAGACGAAGGTGCTGATGTCATGATCCCGCCTCGTTTAAGCTCCATGGGATCACGACATTAAACTCTTGAGCGCAATTCCCGTCTCGCCTCCAGTGTGGCTCCCCTGCCAGGTTGCCACGGTCAATCCCTCTGGCGCTTCGCCGCAGCCACTTTTTTTTGCGATATCTCGGCAGCGTCGCCGGGACTGCGTGTTTACCCGCATAATTTGGAATTTGGAATTTTGGACTTCTCCATGTTGTCGGCGTCGCCACGCTCTCGGCCGTTGAAGACGAGCCAACTTGGCAACTACGTTATTATTAAGACGCTTAACAATACTAGTAGCTTGTATCTGCTGAGGCGCAGGGGCACAAGTTGCGTCATTGATGATTACATTTTAGGTTCGCGGCAGAGACGGTTAAATAGTCCTGGTGTCGCTCCATTGACTTTGCTGCGTCGCAACTGCACGCAGCAGCAGCAGCTACAACACCACCACCAAAATCGTCACCGTTACTTGCGTACTTCCTCTCGCCCTCGTATACATCTAGGACCGTCAGGGAACAATAGCACTTTAGCTTTTACAACCGCAAGCGCACACAACATGTCGGCGGACCTCATCCCGGCCAACCCGGCAGACCTTATGGTCATCCGCAATGTCACGCCCAACATTGCGACTTTCTCAGTGCCATTTTCGCGATTTGGCAGGATCAAGATTGGTGGCCGTGGCACCCTTGGTATGTCCCAACTTGCCCGCGGAACCCCTCTTTATTCACAACGTAGCATTATTGTACTGACCCAGCCCCGTAGTCAAGCTCACATCCGGCAACCTCGCCGTCTTCTCTCCCGTCGCCCTCACAGAAGAAACCAGGGCCAAAGTCAACGAGTTCGGCGGCAACGTAGGCTACATTGTCGCTCTCGACTTTGAGCACCACATCTTCATCTCCGAATGGGCCAAGCAATGGCCCAATGCCAAAATCATTGGCCCCGAGGGTCTTCCCGAGAAGCGCGCCAAGCAGCTCAAGGATCCTAAAATCAACGACGACAACTTTGCCGTTATTTTCAAAAAGGACGGCAAGCGCGACGTCAAAATCAGCCAAGAGTTTGATGCCGATTTCGACTACGAGTACGTCGATGGCCATGCAAACAAGGAAATCGTCTTCAACTACAAGCCAGACAAGGTCCTCATCGAGGCCGACCTGCTGTTCAATCTGCCCGCCACCGAGCAGTACAGCAAGGTGCCCGAGTCGCAGAGACCGGGTGGTTTTCTTGACAAGCTATTCCGAGGCGTGCAGAACACCGAGGGAGATGCGACCTGGGCCAAGCGGTTTAATTGGTATCTTGCCAAGGACCGCAACAGCATGAATGAGAGCCTCAAGGTGATTGCGCAGTGGGATTTTACAACATTGATTCCTTGCCACGGCGATGTTATTGAGGGTAATGCGAAGGAGGTGTTTGACAAGATCTTTGAGTGGAACTTGCGTGGCAAGATGTAATTTTGGCAGGGAATCGAGTTGCAATGGAGTGAAGGGGCGTTTGGTGATGGCTTATACGGAGTAGAGTTGACGGTGCGCAACATTGAACATAGAGGGGCCGTGCGAACGCAATGAAGGGTGGTGAGGGGATGTACGTAGTCTGGTAGATACCCGAGATGAAATATGTTTAATACACCAGGTTTTTATCTAGCCAATATTGTGCTTTGCTTCCACACGTTCAAGGCTCAACTGGCCGTGATGGCAGTTGCGCAGAGGCTGATGAGCTTATCCGGGTAGAGGTTGTGCTGAGTTCCAAAGCCTAGACGAGGAGGGCGAGATACAAAGGCCCAAACCCTAACCTCTGGCGTTTGGTGCTGAGTACGGATTATTCGTTCAAGATATCAAATCGTTCTTTAACTCGGACCTTGCCAAGATACACTCGCGAAGTATTTCAGAGAAGCACCTACACATTCTTAGCCGGCCTGTCAGCGCTCCACTCCAGAGAGCTGACGACGTACATGCCCCCGAGCTGCATCTACATGATCTCGGCGTCGTATTTATTGAAAAATGACGGCGTGCCGGTTGGTCACTGTCGTGCAAGCAGGGATTGCATCAGGGTCAAGTGACGGGCAGGACAATTAACTACCCTCCGTTTTGGGAAGCCGTGTCTCGCTTTGTCAGGACAAACGGTTCTTTTGGCACCCCAACCTCGTTTACATCAAGAAGTTCGCTCCCCTCACCGCGCCCATAGAAACCGTTCCCTATCTCGTTAGCTACCTGAGAAAATTGTAGGGCAGAAAAAGCCCCACGAGCCATTGGGCAGCTAAATTGGTTTTTCTCTGTTTCCACAGCTTTGTGTGCCCACTGCGACTGCGATAATGAGGCTCACCAACGTCGTCGTCTTGGGAGCTGCGTTGCCCCCCCTTGCGAGCGCTGCCAACTTTGTGAGGGGCAATCGCGTGTCCTTCAACACGTTCAAGTACGACATCGACAAGTGCACAGATGAGAAGCCGTGTTCTCTGTACTTGGTGAGACTGCATGACATGCAAAGGGTTGCGACTATTTTCGGTGTGTAGATGCCATGCTTAGCCCAAGTCCGCACCACACGCGGGTTTACAGATCCGCCCGCGCGTGACTGACTGCCTCGAGAGGGCCTTCTCGCTAATAAATGGCGGGACTATAGAAAATCAGGCCGGCACGGAATTCATCGCCAGAATTCAGAATGTCCCCTCTGGCACGTACATCTTCCAGGCTACCGGGGGTGAGGACGGCAAGACGGCGATCACGACACAGTTTACGTATAATACGAACTTGGCGACGATCGGCACAGGCACAGGCACAGTGACACCGCCCTCGCCAACGACATCTTCTCCCGGGACGTCTCTCGAGACGACTTCCTCTCCTCCAGGGCCCACTGCGGCTTCGTCCGATTCTGGTTCTACAGGTACGTCGGCCGGCCCTGTAACTGGCAGCTTGACCGGCACTTCAACGGCCGGTCGGACGGGCACTGCGATCATCAGTTCGACAGGGAGTTTGACGGGTAGCTCTAGGTCTCTGAAAAGTTCTGGCGGCAAGTGACTTTGCTCTTTGCGCTTTTCCCCGCGTACTGACTGCTCACGCTTCACCCAGCGCCGGGAACGGAGGAGCCGTCGTCGACGAAAACTGCAACGGCGCCATTGACAACAACGACTGTGCCGAGCTCGGGGGCTCTTGTTACTTTTGATTCGTGGGGGGTGCTGGGTGTCGCGGTCGTAATGGGGTGGTTGTTGATTTGAAGAATGCGGCATTCTTGAGCAAGAGGTTGGGATGACGGAAATTTGACTTTTGCAATTACCGTCATTTTGATGACAGGTAATGAATGATGGCTCTGCGGAATAGGCACAGATTATTAATTATACGCCGTTGGGTGAAAGCGGTTGATTTGCTCGACCAAAATTATTAGCTGTGCTACATTGCTAAATTTTTGTTTGAATTAAATGAAGACTTAAGATAGCCTTTAAACATTGAAGACAACATGAGCAGACTAACACCAGACGTCACAGAGGTCCGGTCGAATGGTGGGGAATCGGGGCCCCAGACTGATCACTAGCGAAATGCTCGCAGTGCTGTAAGGCAGAACGGGACCCACCAGACCAGGCATCATTATGGGCCATGCCGCCTATAAAGGTGAGCTAGCTACATGTGGAGTCACCGGTGCTCGAGACTTCCGATGTCACACTGGTGACCACATGTATTTGCATGCCCCGCCGAATTTGTAGCTGGACAGCAACTTCAGGACTCGACACCCCGACTTCAACTTGGAGCCAGAAACGCTGCGACAGTCTTGCCGCTCCCCGTCCCCAACGAGCCGCCCAGAATGCCATGATCGCATAGTCATGGCTGAGTACGGGAGAATGGACCCGTTCTCCTTTGCGGGCTCCAAAGATGTCGATCATCCTGTGAGCGTCCGAATGTAGGCTACTACTCCCCAGCACCTCTATGCGCCTGCCACTGAGTTACGCAGTGTGACTCGTGCACAGCCTTCTGTTTGCTGAGCATCGATGACAGAATGAACCTGGAAGGGGATGAGCCTCCAGTCAAGTATTCGACGCTTCTCGAGCGACCGGAACTCCGGCATATCGGGTCGAACACCAGGTTGGCCCCCCTACAGCCATTATTCCAGACCCATCACCACCTTGACTGACCGCAAATCAGCCCACACTCCGAACTTTACGTGACAATACAGGTCTGGGCTGGCTCTAAACCTCTTACCGTGCCGGTGCAAACAGCATACAAACCCTTCCGGTCCGAGCGAAAGTGCGTACAGAACACGAGACCCCCGAGCCGCCGTGACATGACCTTGTACTTACTGTCGCCCTGACACAGATGGAACGAGTGGCTAGAGTTGCCCATTACATACAAGTCACTGCCCGCCAATTCTCGTCTCGCCATCACAATATGGGACCTGTCACCTACCGGCGGGAAACACGCGATTGGCCATGCCATTCCGTTTGGAGGAACCACATTGCCCATGTTTGATACCGACAATCAAATCCAAAAAGGTCGCCAAAAGTGCTTGGTTCACAGACACAAGTATGCTGATGGAACAGACAACTCCGCCACGCCGGCTTTGGTCACAGCGAAGAAGAAGGCCAGCCTTCGGAATGGGGGTGGTCCGCTTGTCGATAAAGATGCCGAGGAGCTTGACAGAATGGAAAAGTTGTTCAAAAAGCATGAGATGGGAGAGATCCCGCGCGTAGACTGGCTGGACCAAATGGTGTTTCGAAGCTTCGAGAAAAAGGGTCTGCAGGCTGCAAAGTCATCTATGAAGATGCTTCAGCGTCAGCGAGCCCTCAACGGAGACAACAATGGCGACCATGCTTCCGACACCGACAATGACGGTCTCAATGACGGTCGCCCCAACTCATCAGCTTTCCTACTTAATGTTGAGCTTCCACGATTTGATTTCCCCGTCGTATTCGCCGACCATGAATACGACCCGCCGCCGATATCAGCTTTGCAACCGCTCTCAGCTTCTCAAGGAACGCTCCCGCTCCATCAGCCGCAGGTCCAATTTGGCCCAGGCATCAATGCCATGGGGGAGAGCTCTGATGGGTTTGGAGTCAGGCTCATCAAGGTCTACGACCCAGAGGTCGGTCAGAGAGATAACCCTGCAGAGGCCAAGCATAGGCGGTTGTTTCGAAGTTCCCACAGGCACGGAATTCTGGACAAGGATCTCAAACCAAACGCAAAAGTCCGAGACGAGTTGAATCTAATCATGGCGTACTCGCCAACCCATGTCTTATCGCCGGAGGAGGCCGATTTGGTCTGGAAGTTTAGATATCACCTGACTAGAGACAAGCGAGCATTGACCAAATTTGTCAAATCGGTCAACTGGAGTGACCAGAGCGAGTCTAAACAAGCGATACAGGTCCTTGGCCGCTGGACAGAAATTGATGTGGACGATGCCCTCGAGCTTCTTGGGCCGTCATTCGACAACCCGGCTGTTCGTTCGTATGCCGTGGACCGGTTACGAAAAGCTGATGACCATGAACTACTCCTCTATCTCCTTCAGCTTGTGCAAGCGCTCAAATACGAGCATATATCTGCCGACTCTGAACAAGAGAGCATACAGGATTCGTCACTGGTGTGTTTTCTAATACAACGAGCTGCGGCGAACTTTATGTTGGGCAATTATTTTTATTGGTATCTGATGGTCGAATGCGACGACCACAGCCCGGAACAAGGAATTGACAATCGAAATATATACCGCAAAGTCGCTTACGATTTCATGACTGAGCTCGTCAAACAGCCATCCGGAACCGAAGACAGGAAAACGCTGCTCCGACAAGCGGAGATGATTGCCATCCTCTCCAAGATAGCCGCTGATATCAAGTCATCTGGCGAGTCGATTGCAAAGAAGACTGATCGCCTAAAACACTTGCTGGCAGACCCCAAGAACGAGTTGCTTACCTTTGACCCGCCTCTGGCCATGCCCCTAGATCCAGCAATTAAGATTACCGGCATTGCGCCGGACCAGGTTGCAGTATTCAAGTCATCACTGAATCCAATCAAATGCACCTTTAAAACCACGAGTGGCGGCACCTATCCCATCATATTCAAATTGGGCGACGACTTGAGGCAAGACCAACTGGTGATCCAAATCATCACACTTATGGACCAGCTGCTCCAAAAGGAGAACCTGGACCTGAAGTTGTCGCCATACAAAATCCTGGCCACCAGCACCACTGCAGGCGCCTCCCAATTTGTACAGTCACAAAGCCTGTCAGCTATTGTTGGCAAATACAGGACAAACCCGGCGCTTGCATACCTTAGACATCACAACCCCGACGACAGACAACCCCTGGGCGTACGACAAGAGACGCTAGACACTTATATCAAGTCGTGTGCGGGATACTGCGTCATCACCTACATTCTCGGCGTCGGCGACCGCCACCTCGAGAATCTCCTGCTGGCACCCGACGGGCACTTCTTCCACGCCGATTTCGGCTTCATCCTCGGCCGCGACCCGAAGCCCTTTGCCCCGCTGATGAAGCTGTCCAAAGAAATGGTCGAGTGTATGGGTGGAGTGAATTCAGAGCTGTACAACCGCTTCAAACAGTACTGCTTCCTTGCCTACACGGCCCTGCGCAAGTCCTCCAACCTTATTCTTAACCTCTTTAGCCTCATGCTGCATGCCAACATTCCTGATATCCGTCTGGAGCCGGACAAGGCCGTCATGAAGGTCCGAGAGAGATTCCACCTGGAACTCAGTGAAGAGGAGGCGATTGTGTATTTTGGGAATGTGATTGAGGGCACATTGACGGCCTTTGCGCCCGTCGTCATTGACAAGTTGCATGAGTGGGCGCAGGCGTTGCGGGCCTAGACCAGCGTGTTGACGCTTTGTGTTGGGAGTCTTGTGCTGCGCATCAAGGATATATTAGTCTACACAAATATACTAATGTCGTGTATATGCTGGTGCAGCACCCGCAGTGAGTGTGGATGAATGCCATTTATTTGATATTGTTCCGCTTTCATGCTCTCGGTCTCTGGCGGCCCGGATTAAGGATAAGGGGGGGTTTGTCGGAGGCAGATACATTCCTTTCCTTCGATTGCGCATTTCTCACAGCATGTATTTAGCTTCGTAAATTTCTAGTTCTAACACTTTGATTTTTATGCCTTGACGATCTGCATCTCATCTGTAGCTATACATAAACTAGCTAGCTGCATATACAGGCCACTTCCGCGTGGTCCAATCCCGTACCAGGTTCAAATCAGCATATCCTCAGTCCAGTGTTCATATTGCATACACATTGTTATCCTTCAGGTCAAGACTTTCGTGGACTCGCAATGAGTGAGAATTGCCCTCTGCAGGCAGCAAATGTAAACGATTTACCGGAAACAACCTTTCCCGTAAGTTCTGTAGGCGTCTCAATCGTTGTGTCGGCCCCTTGGCCTGCTCGACAGTTTTCAGAATATCCCCAGGTCAGGACTTTGCCTTCTGGGGCGATGGCGAAGGAGTTGTCGATGCCGGCCGCGACGAGAGTAGCCGTGATTCCTGCCACCGGTGTCAGCTATTCCTGCGAATGCTCAGATGAGCGGAGATAAAAAGAAAGATTGTAAATGGCACGTACCAGGGACGATGGTGGGCTGCAGCAAAATCCTCGGCCGTCCTCGGCTGTCGCACAGGACATGTTCCCTGGGCAAGGCAGACACGTCGATGCCAACTTGACTGTTGTCACACCTCCCCCAAGCGAGAACATTTCCATCCTCGGTGCACGCCAGGCTATGCTGAAAGCCACCCGCCATATGGCGAATCTTGTACCCTTTCAGCCCCTGGATGACTGTCGGGGTGCCAACATGAAGATTATCCTCGTTGGCGGCAAGACCTGTCTGTCCGAAATTATTTAGCCCCCAGGTCCAGGCTTGGCCCTCCTTGTCTATCGCGAAGCTATGATTGAATCCGGCAAAGGCTTTGACGATTCCCTTCCTCGGTAGGTCGACCATCCGTGGGATCAAGGATTCGAATTGGTGCCGTTGGACGAGACGGCGACCAAGTTCGGCTTGTTGTCCGGACCCCCAGGCGTACACGTCTCCTGATTCCGTGAGAGCGAGCACGTGGTTTCCGCCCGCGGAAAGCTTTTTGATATCTTTGAGGCCACCTATTTGGATGGGTGTGACCTGAAAGCGTTCTTTATACTTGGATTTATTCTTTGGGCGCATCTTCTCTCGCAAAAATCCGTATACACCGTCACTGCCCTAGAATCAGTTAGCTCTCTAGCCTGGGGATAGGCGAGTGAAGAAAGAGCTGTCAAAATACAAAGAAAGTGCCCCAGCCATATACAAGTCCCGATCTGGTGAGGACAAAGGTCGCATTATCAGTGACAGCGACTTGTGTAATATCGGATCCCAAATTTTTCAGTCCTTCCACAGGCGCGGGCGTGCTTTCGAGGGGGTTCAAATCCGTTACATCTTTGTCAGGTTGCACCGGCGGATCACATTTTGTACTTCTACCGAGAGCCTTGGAATCGTTGACACCCCAAGTCAAGACTCGACCGTCATGTGTGAGCGCAGCGCAATGCACGCTTCCGACCGCTACTTGGACAATGCCTACATCCTCGGCATTTAGCAAATGGTTGAGGCGGGGCTTGTTTGCCTTCATAGGGCTCTTGTTGTTATGGCTTTTATTCCCCAGACCCAATTCGCCATTCTCCCCGCTTCCGAATACTGAAATATCGAGTCGTTGGGTTGGTGCATTGTTGAGCTGCTTGGAGGGCCTTGTTCTTCGAGGCGGGATGCCATTTATCTTGCGTCGCTTTGTGGACGTATTTGAGCCAGGCTCCTTTTTTATAGGCGTGTCTTCGATTTCATTCGTAGTGTCACCAATCTTTCTCTTTCCCGGCGTCTGTGGCTGCAGCGGCAAAGTTAGCACGTGCTGATGCGACAGTGGGGGTTTCTTTGGTTGTGTGAAATTCCGCAGTACGTAGTACGGATTTGTTCATCTGCGGGGGAGAAGTGGAATGCAAGACATGGCGCTGGACAAACCATATTATCAACTCCATGCGCACCATTCGCCCTCGCATCGCGAGAGGATAAGAGTAGACTTTTCGCGAAAGCGATCATCTTGAGCTTGTTTGCCGCAAACGAATGTGAGTTGGTTCTTGAGTCCTGGCTCCCAACCCTGTGTGGAATGATGAATGGGTGGGGGTGGATCTGAGCCAGCGTGCGCTAGCGTCAGGGGCGCAGATGTCAGATCTGGACAAGACTGGAGAAGATGGGGCTTCCAGATGTGGCTTTCGAATTCTGTCGATTTATTGGATGATGTAACTCCGAATATCTGCAACACCCACGATGGTTAAAGGACTGGTGGGTTGGATCTGGACGTCTTGAATCTAGTTGGCATGGAACCGAATGAATGGCTTCCGCCTTCTTCTTCGGATGCCAATGCCCACGTGATTGAGTGGGAGAAGCTCTGGGCAAGAAAGAGATGAATGAAGGACAAAGCCGAAGCTTTGGTCTGAATGGAAGACCAGCTGGAACTGACAAACGACTAAGAACTCGCGGCATCTTTGTTGTCTACTTCTGACTTTACATGACGAAGGTGCATTGGACTTGATGCTTCTACACACCAGGTACCTAGGTACTTGTAGTTCCCGGTAGTCCTGCCGGCAGTAATAACTACCACTTGGTTGTTTTAACGACTCTGCCAGCAGTGGAGTGCGAGCACTTGAGGTTTAATTTTGGTACATATTCTGTATTTTCCCCCTCAACATTAAAGTAGTCTTCCTACTTCACTGTACGCTGTGTCTTTTTGTTTGCCCATGGGTTTAGCTTTCAACTAACTTATTATTAGGGTTCTTTCCTGAAAAAAAAAAATAGTACCATAGATTTGCGATAACATTAGTGGTCAACTTTCCGATGACCGTTCTCTACCTTAAAATGACCACCGGGTGTTTGTTGCAGCCTGGTTCAACGTCGCGTAACTAGGCTAACACGCTTGCGGTAGCATTTGAAATTTATTGTCAAGAATTACTGCCCGGTCTGGTGCACAGAATCGGCTATAATTATATCCCAGCGTCGTAGCTGGTGCCGCACCATACTCTGTGCATTCCAGCCACTTCCGTCTCTGCTCGTCGACATACGAAATATCATGTTCATTTATCCGCCTGTTGATGGACCAATGCACATGGCCGGAGCCTCCTTTTTCTTGGCTTCCCCATCATATGTCGCTGCCGTAGGGCGCTCACAAAACTCCTTGCTCGTGCACGTCACGTACAAACAATGCCCAGCTTCCAACCGCCAACGGCCAACAATGATGACAGGCATGATGTTCCATTCTGTGAGAGTTGATTGGAGGGGATGACGCGCAATGGTTGCCGCGCAACGCCCTTTCACAATGGCGCACACGGTCCATTGACTCCATCCCGTACTTCAGGAGAGTCAAAATGCTTACAGAATAGCAGTTCATTAGTGGCATTGGGCCATCGGTTTCGACTAGTCAAGTCAGTGATATATTTCTATCCTCCTATTCTCTTTCCTTTCTCTCCCTAAAGAACACCTAAAACGATGGCAGCTTATGGCCTCGAGGCTCGCTTGCAGCGGCTGGGTCTCGACGACGGCGAAGGAAGGGAGCAAAAGGCAAAGGTAATCAAAACCAATGGTCAAATCAGCCCTGGCAAAACGAATCCTCTGAACAGGTGAAGTCAAACCTAGCAATGCCCCCATGCAATACAGCTCGACCATACCTCGTCAAAGCTCTTCTGCCCAAACAGAAGCCAAAGACACCAGCTCCCCCGCGAGAAGCCGCCCTCCAAACTTCGCTAAGCCACAAAAGCCCTCGCATAGAATCAGTTCAACCAGAAAGTCAATCAGAGAACAAGACCGTGCGCTTGGTTCAGCAGCCCGTGGCCAAGACATTCCACTTGGGTATGTTCGAGATCGGCAAGCCACTAGGCAAGGGCAAGTTTGGCCGCGTATACCTCGCACGCGAGCGAGATCACGGCTTCATCTGTGCGTTAAAAGTCCTACACAAGAGCGAGCTACATGAAGGTCGTGTTGAGAGACAGGTCAGGCGTGAGATTGAGATCCAGAGCAATCTGCGGCACCCTAACATCCTAAAGCTATATAGCCACTTCCACGACAGTAAGCGTATCTTTCTTGTCCTCGAGTTCGCTGGCCGTGGCGAGTTATATAAACACCTCCGCAAGGCAGATAGATTCCCGGAGCCGAAAGCCGCACGCTATATTGCGCAGATGGCAAGTGCCCTACGCTACTTGCACCGTAAGCATATAATCCATCGCGATATTAAACCGGAGAATATCCTGGTGGGCATATACGGCGAGGTGAAGATTTCGGATTTTGGCTGGAGTGTACACTCGCCCCGTAGTCGCCGAAAAACGTACTGCGGAACATTGGACTACCTGCCTCCTGAGATGGTTATACCGAATAACCCGGAGAACTCATACGATGAGAAGGTCGACCTATGGGCCCTAGGCGTGTTGGCCTACGAATTTCTCGTGGGTGAGGCCCCTTTTGAGGACACACCCGCCATGACATGTAGGAGGATCGCTAGGGCGGAAATGAAAGTCCCGTCGTTTGTTAGCGCCGAGGCCACGAGCCTCATTAAGGGAGTCAGTGTGAATCTTTTGGCCCTCTGAAAATGGCGTATGGAAATGCTGACATTGGCCAAAGTTGCTTGTTGTTGACCCAGAAAAGAGATTGACCCTCGAACAAGTACAGCAGCATCCCTGGATTGTCAACAACTGCCGAAGGGACGAGATATATCGAGACCGCTAGTGCACTCAACCACGGTCCATTATATGCCGGCATGGTGAGGCTATATGACGGCTCTTTGGTTGATATTTAGTGTTGTATATGTGTATAGTTGGATACTGTATTGCATACCAGGACCTGCCCATCTCATTACTTTACGTGAAACAAGAGTTTAAGCAAACCGTCCAGGCAAAGAAGTAGACCACGGCACGTCACAAGCTGGCGTGGCTTCAAACTTTCACCCATCATTCAAATACTATACATGACCTTGGCAACTACATGCGGAACAAGCCTCAGGTGTCACCAAACACAAACACCCCTTTTCCTTTCCTAAACCCCTTTAAACCCTCTTGTACTGCGTCCTTCAGCGGTGCCTCCTCCGTCTCCCAGTCCCACTTGACTTCATCCACAGGCACGTCCTTGAAATGGCCCAGGCGAATCAAGTTCAGGATATCATTCACCATATGCTTTCGGCCGGTGGCATCCTTCTTGTTCCACTTTGACAACCAGAACCCAACAAATCGAATGTCCTTGAAGATGAGCAACCCAAGCGGCAAGGCAACAGGCTGCTTGGACATTCCTCCATACGACACCAACGTAGCCCCCTCGCCCAGGGATCGTGCCAGCGAGGTGGCAGATTTGCCGCCGACGCAATTCAACGCGAGCCCGATTTCCTCGCGGCCGCCCCGAGTAATATCCGCAAGCTGGTGCTTCCATTCCCTAGACAGGAATTGCGACTCCGGCACCACAACATCTGCCCCTAGGCCAATGAGCTCCTGCTTCAAAGCCTCAGTCTCCTCGACAGAGTCCCTATCGCGGATGACATTGATGCTCCGCAGACCCCAGAGCTTTCCAAACTGGATCGCTGCCCGTCCCACCCCCGAGTTGGCCCCGTTCTGGATGAACCACTCGCCGCTGCCGAGCTGGAGCGGTCTCATCGGCAGGCCAGACTTCAACCCGGCGCTGGGGCCGTAGTCTCGCAAAATGCGGTACGCCGTGCACGGGTTGATGCTCACAGTCGCGACCTGCGTGGGTGTCAAGTTCTCCCTGTCGACTTTGAGAAGATCCCCGGCCTCGAAAACCGCGTGCGTCCTCCACGTGCCGATCTGCTGGGCGGCGGGGATGACCCAGTCCCCCTTGTTCAGGGGCGACGACGAATCGCCGACTGAGACGACTTCGAAAACGCCCTCGTTGCCGGGGACCGCGGACGGCTCGGCGGTGCCGATGAGCGATGTCATGGGCTGCTTGGAGCCATATGTCCCTTGGATGGTGTTGATATCGGCGGGGTTGATTGACGCGGCGAGGGTTCGAACGAGGACGGACGAGCTCGGGAGGGAGGGGGAGATGGAATGCGTGTGAAGCCTGCGAGAGCCACGTTAGCCCGTGTCATGGCCGGCGTGTTGGTGTCGGGTGAGCCTGGGTTTTACTTTAGGACGTCTGAGGGCTCGCCGTGCTTGGAATACACGAGAGCTTTGGATTGTGTGTAGCCGTACGGGCCTGACTTGCGCCGAAGAGCTGTTCGAGGTAGTCGATTCAAGTGGGTGGCCTGGAGGCTTGATGTTGGTCGCGAAAGCTTGAACACCAGTGAGGGTGATTGCAGACACTGGCGACTTGCCATTGTCGACGCGTGCAATTGCTGCGGTTGGGACTCTGCCACGGACAATGGACGTTGGGGTGAGAGATTGTGAAGCTTTCGGTCCGTCCTCGGATGAAAACCGTCAATGACGTTGGGGTGATGGAGCTATTTTCGGCAGTGGCGGGACCCACATGAGGTACCAGCACTGCTCCGCATGATGGTTTTGCGGAAGGTGGGAAAGGAAGATGCCCAGGTGTATTCTTTGGCGCAGAATATTCTACGCGAAATGCTAAAATGACAGGAAAGCAGAGTCCTGGATAGTCAGGGGGCATTACTACCACTTCCCATCTGTGATATTTACTCATAATGCGTTCTTGGACTCGTCTTGGCCGGATACACTTTCCCAAGCACCTGCATTTAGCGGCAGAAAATATCCGTCTACCAATAAGCTTACACCAGTGTACTACTATAGTATATTTCGGTATAGAGCGTGATTGCTAGGTACCCAGCCGGTTCAAATACTTTTTGCCTTTTACAAGAGGCAGGTAGTGAAATGGTAGGCAGTAAAGGTGATAATCAATGCGTCACACGCTGGCGGTCATTCCTAATCCATCTTGTAAAGCGAGAGGGTGGAAGCTCACACACGGCAAGTCATTCTTGCGTTGTGCGTTGATGGCGTCGTGTGAAAACCCAATCTCGGGGGCTGGTGGAGGACCTTTTGTAACTCGTGCTGGCTTTCGGCATTTGCTGGCGCTACGGGTGGAATGTGGCCATTAGGAGTGTGATTGACAATGACAGGTTGCTCAAAGGTCAACGTGAAGCTGGCGGAGCGCGACGAGGGGCTGGAAGTAAACTCCGCATGGGATATCTAGCACAGGCTGCATGTGTGGCAGGATATATTTGGCCCATTGCCAAGTATGCACTAGGCTGCTGTTGTACGTAGTACAGTGGTGTCAATAGTATTTTGCTCAGACCACTAGTATCAGCTCCGTAATAGGACGTAGTATTCCGCGTACCCCAATCTGAATTGCTCCACGCCAAGAGTACGAAAACTTCCGCCGTGGAAGCGCACCTAATGAATAGTATCAATATGTAGTACAGCATTGTGTATGTCCTCGCAACCCGGCCCGGACTGCGACCTGTGCGTGCTAGCTAGCTGATCTGGCCCCCGAGTCAAGCGCTTCAGGAAGACGTGGCGAAGTAGAGGCATAATTCATGCCTCTGTAAATGGACGGGGTTGCCGTGTCGAAAGTTCCACCGGACCGCTGGAGACCGCTGGCCGGTCCGGCAAATTGCTCACTTACCAAAAGGCAGAAATGCAAAAAGATTTTTTTTAAAAGAAGAATATTGCCCAAAGACATTGTGCCAATGCACATGCGCACGTGAATCCTCAAGTAGTCGAGGGGTCCTAGCGCACTAGACAGGCTGTACGGTTACTCGGGCCTCGGCCATGGCCTGATGATAGTCGTTGGACTTGCTTTTATGACCAAGTTTTCCGTGTTGCGTGCTCACTTGGGTCACTTGCTGACATTGCTGGGTTGGCTGTTTTCCAGGTTTGTCCCCTTGCCGGTGTCGCGCACGCTCATTCCCAGTCCGTCTGGTGCTGTGAAAGGTTGATGTCAGACTTCAGTCCATCGGCGGGCCCCATCAATTGATTCTGGATGGATCAATTACTCCGTAGTGCCATGATATGATTCCACCAGACCCGTCCCATCAGCCCCATCAGTCCGCCAATAGTGCCAGCAGTCTAGGCCGTTTCCAACGATTCCTGCGAACCAGACCAGTTGACGTTTGAACCGTCGACCCCTTCCGAGGCGTCATGCTGCCGACTGCGGGTCGTGCCGTCACCCAAGTTGCCAACGACGGCAAGTTACTAAAGTACTAGCTGGCCTCGGACGGGACGAGACCGGACGGACGGGGGCACATCGTGGCACCTGCGCCAACTGAACATTGAATGCTCGGCAGCTCACTGGGCGGTCAAGAATGCGATTGACCGTTGGCAGTGCTGTTGGCCACTGCCCAAGTCTCCCAGGTGCCGTCAACAATCTGGCCATGCGTTCTATACGTACGCGACCAGACACTTTGCAGGGCTCGAGCGCCCGCGGTTCGGCAACATTCAAGTCTGTCTGCATGCCTGCACGTACCAACCATCTATGTGACGACGATGCACCCTTCCAAAGTTCTCGATGGGTGCACAGCATGGCACAGTGATTCCAAAGCCCGGCCGCCACGGATCCCCCGTGTCTTCTGAACCAATTGACCTAGTAGTATCCGTGCCTCGTGAGGGCTCGCGACTCAGTCGGCCAGCTCAGTCGGTCAGTCAAGGATCATCAAGGCGCCCAACATCGAGGTTCAACGGTCCATGTCTGCATGTGGTGCTCTCTGGGGGCGCTAAGTCGTTTCCAGGCCTCTATGCACTGTGTGCTGCGCCAACAGCCACCACCACTTCCACCACCAGAACAGAACCGCCAGCCTCGAGTCAACCTCGACGTTCCTGTCCCCTCATCCCTGCCATCTGTCCCAAGCCGTAACCATGGCCAACCACCCATGTTCCATTTTCAGCAGCACCTCGCTGATGAAGCGAAACATCAAAGGTATTTGAGCATTTGGGCAACCTGCAGGTCTCTTCTTCTTGCTGCCGCGTCCCTGGTCTGCGTGCAGATTCAGATCCTCCTCGTACTACTCCGTACATCCCTCTCCTCGCCCTGGAATCCTGCCTGCCAACTTGGCCAACCCTGCCCACCTTTTCCCGCCGTCCATCCGCCATCATCTCTTGGTGCCAATCTTGCACGCTGAATGATTTTCCCTGACTTCTGTCCGAGGGCTCGTTCGACCTCGTTTCTTCTTTCGACCCCGGCCTCCTCCTCCTAAACGGAGCACTATGCACAATTGAGCTCCAACGCTACCCAATTCATCCGACCCTGGCTCTCCCAAGCCACGAGAGCTCCAGTTTTCTCACCTACCCCGGTCATCAACGCGTATACGCAGTACTACTACTACTACGGAGTACTAGTGCAGAGTGCAGCGTACGGAGCAACTACCTAGTTGCCAGGCATTTGCTCTCCTTTCCCACTGGCCTGGTCTCGCCTGTCTTGATACGAGGACAGACTGAAGCTCTACTCCGTCATCTTGTTCACCACTCACTGGTCCCGGCCTATCGCGATAAGCTGCCATTGATCACGACGTTTTTTGCCCGTCAAGCTGTCTGTGACTGCTGCCAGTCACGACGCCTTCCCGAGCTCAGGATCTCCTGTTGGCTCACCTCTCGATATTCTCGACATTCTCGGCCTACCCCAAAATTCTGTCGTCATGCCTGCTCGCGTCAATGGCTCGGCCAAGCCTCGGTTTGAGCTTCCCGCGCTCGACTTGAACTTCGGGAGCATCACCGACGGCACCAGTATCCCCCCTCCTCCAGATTCGCCCAAGGTGCCCACGCCGCCCCAGACACCTCCTCCGACAAAGAAGACCGACTCCGCCGTGGTCAGTGGGCATGAGACCGACAAGTCTACACCACCAAACAATGGTAATATTGCCGGAACCAAACGACCCGCGGATGAGGCGCCCCTGAGCCCCGCTGGCTCTGCTAGACAGGGCAGCCTCCGCAAACTACTTAGTAGGAATATGCTGAACACTAGTTTTGTAGAGGGCAATGTGGCTTCGTTGGACAATGGTAGCCTGGCCGCCGGTAGCAGACCTCCTAGCCGCGGCGGCAGCAGCGTCGTGGGCGGACGAAAATCGAGGCGGAGCAGCTGGTTTGGCCTCTTCAAAAGCGGCGAATCCAAGCGATCAAGCATCCTGTTTGATGATGTCCCTTCACCTCGAAAACCAACCGGGCCTCCCCCACCGATGATCCCGGAGCTTAAGGACCTCGAAAAAGATGAAGGAAGCCTGGGGAATGACCTCTTTAAAAACATCAAGTGACGAGAATCCTATTGACCGTGGTGCCGTACTCGCACAATCAACGCCTTTTATACACGAAACCCACCTTAGCAGTGTCCCCATCCCTTAACTCAACACATCGGGAACAACGCCTTTCACATAACCCATACAACTGGACGAGCGACGACGCATCCGAGGCGACTTACCGACCAATCTTTTGAACCAAAGCTTTTCCTAGTATTTTATTGTTCCATATCTTATTTCATCGAGATCCCACCAGAGCCTGTCAGAGTCGGGAGAATACACAGTAACGACGGGGGGAAAACGAAGGGGAGTGGTATACAGACACAGGAGTAGAGAAGGTTTGGGAGAAGACCTTTCAAGGTGGTTGATCTAGATACCCAGCTCTTTCGAGAGCATCTTCATCTGACCGGTTACGCGACTTGCGAATTCTTTCTTTACATCATTTGTTCGACTTTCGTTTCCCCATTATTTGGTCGATTTTACCTGGGCGTCGCATTGGCCATGATGCCGTTTTGGCCCTTATTTGCATGGGCTAGAAGAAGCGAGAGGGAAATCAAAAAAAAAGTTCTGGGACGCAGTGGCTGGGCACAAGAAACCTCACTGTTTTATTTGCGTGTATATTTTGTCAGGAAGAATGAACAATTTGGAATGCTAGCTGAAGGGCGTGGCAGTGGACGAGCTCTCAGATCTTGGAGCCTAGCTTGTTGAAATTGAGATTCTAAACGAGCAAGAACTCTGCCATTTCCAAGGCCATTTACGCTTTACTACAGACAGAATCCATTCAGAGCTCGATATTTTGTCAGCGAAATATACACTAATTCTCAAATTTGCGACTTTGCGACCCAACCAAATGACGAAAACTAGTCACAGAGCCTGTGTTGTTAAGTTCCCGAAGATACAAAAGCTAACGAGACTGCAGCTTGAACAGAGCAAAGTTAGACTCGTAGGCTGTTCGCCTTCAAGTCAGCCAGGAATGTTTCCTCAGCCTTCAGATACCCGCCCACGGTTGAGTTAATTAGATCTTCAGAAGCACCAGCAAACCTGGGTAGAATTCGGGTACCCGAAGCTAGGACTTCCAATATCGTTCCGTCGCCCATCTTCTCATCCACTACCAACTGATACATGGCCTGGGCGACGTCCTGCAAATCGATCCAAGCCATGTTGTCGCTCATGTCTTTTGACATGGTGAATCCCTGATCCCATATCGAAGTCTCCAGCCAAACCAGTCAGCGGTAAGTTGTGATGACGAACGGGAGGATATATCGGCAGCCAACATACCTTGACCGGACCGGGAGCCACAGCGCTCACCCGAATCCCCAGCGCGTCGCGAAGGGGGGCCATGCACGACACAAACCCGTGGATGCCATGTTTTGTCGTGTGGTACAACGGCCGAATCGGCGTGTCTAAATAACCCGCGATGCTTCCCACAAGCACCAAGCAGCCTTTCTGCCGATTCGTGGTCCAGTGCCCAATGGCCATCTGGCTCAGTCGAAGTGGCGCGGTGAGATTCAAGTCAATGACGGCGTAATGGCCTGGCTCTGCATCGCCGGCGTCTCGCGACTGCGTATCAGGATTGGTGTCGGTCTTGGGGGCGTTCCAGAAACTGCTCCACGCTGGCTCGAAGATGCCCGCGCCGGGTACTACAATGTCCACCTTGCCGTGGGTTTTGACGGCCGTCTCCCACAACAGGCTGAGCTGTGGCCAGGATGTAACGTCTGTTTTGTGAAACGAGACAAACGGCCTTGGGCCATCGACTGCGCGGGGGTCGTCTTGGCGGTACTCCTCGAGAAGCTGTGTGGCTTCGGGGCGGAGGCTGATGTCGGCAATGACAACAGAACAGCCCTTGCTAAGGAGGAGTTTCACAAAGCACAGACATATGCCTGTTGTTGGGTCTTGTCAAGATGCGGTCCTCTGGGTTTGGTTATTTGACATGCGGCTCTTTTACATACCTGAACCGCCACCGGTAACAATGGCGCTTTTGCCAGTTAATTCCAGGGCCATGTTAACTCAGAAATGGGACGGATTCGTTTGGATGGTGCTCTTGTTTCTTCTCCTCCGGATCAAGCGTGCTACAACAAAAAGGGAGAACACAGGAGGCAGAATGGGGTTGAGCACGTACGAAAATTGCCTGGCGAGCCCGTGTTTCTTATCAGTGTGTTCCGTTCGGATGACGCCTCAGGGATATAAGTGCGATGAGCTCTTTTTAATTGGAGCCACGACCAGTTTGGAATAGGCACAAGATATGCCAGCTGAAAAAATCGGATCACCTGGTTGTTATTTTCTTTTTACTAGTAATATTGCGTTGTACTGCATTTTAGACTTGTACATTGTCAGATCTCATAAAAGAGTTTCGACCTTTCCCCTCGTCCTCGGTCATGATTACCTGCCCTGCATCCGACTCATCCTCTGGTCTTCCCGGTCGACATGCCCAGCCATCAACGAACCTCAATGTCTCTGCCGACCAAGCGCGCTTCATCAACGTCAATCGCAGTGGTACCAAGGCAATGATTACCAGGGGGAATGCAGGCGCGGCCACAGTGAGCGTTACGCCGAATACGATGCCAGTCAAGATAAGCTGTGTACCGGTGAAGCTGTGGATCCCCGACCAAGTCACGCCGTCTGGTAAATCTGGAAGTTCGGATCTAGGAGTGAGTAGTTGGAAGATTCTGTCGAGGATGGGATTCACGGCGAGCGACTGGTAGCCCATAAACATGAAGAGCCCTGCCAGCACAGAAGTCTGCGTTAAACCCAACAGTCCCTGGAGCGGAGGCGAGACAAACACCAGAATGGCGGCGGCCTGGATAAGATGTGAGTACCGTTGCTCATGCGTCCTCGCCACCGGTCGCACAACCTCGGCACATGTCCCACCGGCGTGTTCCTCAGCTGACCCTTCATCGAGGTAGTGTAACAACGATTCCGTGTGTAATGGGGCCTGCGGCAACAGCCCGTTTGCGGGCGGGATGCCCAGAACGCCGCAGAGAGCAGTCGTGAGCCCAAGCAGGATAATGTCCCACGCGTAGCCGCCCGGCTTGCGCACGCCGTACCTCTCGACGGTGCATATTATGCTGCTGATCTCGTGGTCAAAGTAGAAGAGCACTGTTATGATGGCGCCGGGAATGGCTGACAGGAACACCCACTCCACGGGCAGTTTCCAAAACTCCACGAAGAATGCGGCCCGCTGGGGGCTCGACGGCCGAAAGGAGGTCTGGACCGGGAGACGTTCGTGGTCCAGATGGGCCAACTCGCCGACGTGTGGAATCCCGATCCACAATACAATCGAGATGGCGGCCGCGTATTCAGCGAGCCCGATCCTGACGTACTTGTGGAACAGGCTCCACGAGTTTGCGGTCGACAGCAGCACGGCGACGAGGCAGGTTCCTGCGGCGCCGATGACGGCATATAGGAATGCGGCGAGAGATGCGGCGCCGTGCGTGCGCTTCAGGGCCATGGCCGCTTTGTGGAAGTAGATGACGCTGTTGAGGAGGGAGAAGATGTCGGCGCTGAAGTGTGTCACGTATTGCATTGTCCAGTCGTGCGCGTTGAAGATGGCGAGCGCGAAGAGCATCCAGCCCGCGTGGATGAGGGACCATGCCATTACGGGGAGGAAGTCGACCTTGCGGACAGTTTAGCGAGTCGTTGGTGGGAGAAACATGTGTATCTATGTATATGGCGTGTAAACTGACATGGAAGCTGTTTGAGCACAATGTGTAGATGTTTTCTGCGAGCACCGAAAAGGGGCCCGTCACACCGAGGATGGTCAGAGGCTGCGCGGAGAAACTGGAGCAAGAAGGTGTGAGATGTCTCGTTATTTCGTGACGGCGAGTGAGTGAGTGGGTGAGGGATGTTGAACTGACAAGGCGAATATAACTCCTACTAGACCGGTGCTAAACACCACCTCGATAGTGCCCCATGATTGACCCGTGAGCACGTACAAGTCGCTTGCGAATGTGATTCCCGGGAGGGTGTTGGTGAAGAAGATGTAAACTGCGCTGGCAATGATTTGCTGGTTGAATACCGTCCAGTCTGATGCGTATCGTTGGCGCAGGTTGGTGACATCCTGCTTAAGAAGGCGGAAGGGTCTAAGCTTGCCGCCTGGGCCGAAGTATCTTGCGTCTGTCGCAGACATGAGCGGAAAAAATCTGGGCTTAGAAGGTTAAACGTATGCTTCATTCTGTCCATGGTCAAACTGGGCATGCAACGAGCTTTCTATGCCTTCCATCCAAGACTATGCGGGCTGGAAGGCCCCATGTCATCGGTCCGGGCATAACTGCATATGCCAAAGCCAAGCATGGCCAAGCATCGACTATTCAGGTCGGGTTTCAACTTTGTAGAAACGATGCCCTCGGAACGTTAAAGCCAAGACTGTTGCAAAAACCTCGTGGCCCAATCGGCCATGGTTACTGGATGGCGTCGACCTAGAGTCCCAACGCGCACGCAAGAGATGACGTCAGCGACCGTTTGAACCTCTTATCTTATCTACACGTGCAATCTCAATTCGTGGCGCAAGGACCCCTGTCACAAAGTTGAGAGTCGATGGCCAAAACACCAGTCAACATCAATCAATTTAACATCAAGCTCTCATGACGCCGTGACGCCGGTTTATTCAAAACACCATATACCCAGCACATCCCACCAACTGCGTGCCACTCCAACAGTAAAATGTGCACCAACCCCCGCAGGAGGTGACATCTTTCACAATGGCGCGCTTCGTGCCCCGCGACACGTTCAGCATCCCGTCCTCGGTCCCAAAGACCTACTTCCTCGGCCATCACCACGCCGGCGCAAACAAGATCAAGACGCTCCTCTCCAGTATATCCCTCGTCCTCGAATGCCGTGACTTCCGACTACCCCTCTCCACGCACAACCCGACGCTGGAGCGCACCATCGCCGGCCGGGACCGCCTCCTCGTGTACACCAAGTGCGACCTGGGCACCGACACGCCCGGCGCGCGCAACACGCTGAGACGGCTGCACGGCGACAAGGTAGTCTTCTGGGACAAGACCAAGCCCGCTACCACAGACGCGCTACTGAGACGGCTCAAGAGCACAGCCGAGACGCAAGACTCGCTGACGGGACTGCGCGCCCTGGTAGTGGGCATGCCCAACGTCGGCAAGAGCACGCTGCTCAACGCGCTCCGGAGGGCCGGCACCCCGGGGAAGAAGGCAAAGGCCGCCAGGACAGGCGACCAGGCCGGCGTGACGCGCAGGGTCGGGACGGCCGTGCGCGTCGTCGAGGCCGAGGACAGGGGCGGCGTCGCGGGCGGCGTCCTGGTGCTCGACACGCCGGGCATCTTCCAGCCCTACGTCGAGGACGGCGAGGCCATGGTCAAGGTCGCCCTGGCGCACGGCGTCAAGAAGGGCCTGGTGCCCGACGAGCTGCTCGCCGACTACCTGCTGTTCCGCATGAACCGGTGGGACCCCCAGCTGTACCGGCGCTACTGCGAGCCGACAAACGACGTCAACGAGTTCCTGACGGCCGTGGCCCGGCGCGACGGCAAGCTCAAGGCCGGCGGCGCGCCCAACTGGCAAGAGGCCGCGGCGAGGGTGCTGTCGCAGTGGCGCGACGGCAAGCTCGGCAGGCACGTGCTGGACGAGCTGGGCGAGGCCGACATTCGCGCCCACGACCTGGCGCTGGCGCACCCGGCGCTGAGCCTGCACCAGGCCAAGAAGGCGCACAAGGAGGCGAGGAAGCAAGAGCGGCTGGGAGACTAATGGCTGGAGACGAACACGAGGGAGGCGCTTGTAAGAGTATTTTGTATAATATACGTATTGATAGACTGAACATCATAATGACGCGTAATGTCGCCCGCAAGCACGTCAATTTTCATGCCACTCACAAAATAAAAAATGGGTATATTAGAAAAGAAAAAGGTAAAAAGTTGCCGCAACAAGGTTGTGGAAATCAGATAATGATGGAACCGTGGACAATCGCGCCAAGGCCCTTGAACAAGAGTACCACATGGTTGTCTTGTTCGTCTTTTTTGGTCTTCATCGCGAATATGCCGAGCCCGCCGGGACGCCGACAATGCAAAACAAACCCATCCCCAACGCCGCTGTTCAGAAATGTCATGCCAGTGTCATACAGTCTTTTGCCAAACCTCCAAGGAGGAGAAATTCCAAAGTAGGGAGCAAAAGGAAGGGGGAGAAAAAAATCCCCAGAGAAACCAAATTCCTCCCCTCTTGCTTAAAAAAAAAAATACAAAACACGCCAATCGTGTGCTATTGTCGTCATGAATACTGGTTCTGCCATTTGACCATAACACGTGTCAGAACGTCCATCATCTCCATGCAGCTCAAACCTTTGAAGCGACTCATATCGAATGGATCTGGAGTATGACCATTGACGGTGTTGCCATTTGTTTGGCTTGGTTCGGGCTTTTCCTGTGGCGTCTCTCGGCCACTACTGCTCTGACTGAAGGAGGCCTCCGCGGCTAGGTCAACTTGCGTCCTGGAAATGAATTCCATTATAGCTGCCACGCGGCGCTTCATATCGAGCATGCTCATTTTGTTCGTCGCGGACGCTTTTGCCCTGGAGGTCTTGTGTTCGTTAACTGACGACTTGGAGTGACCGGTTGTTGTGGCTTCATCGCCTTTCTGAATATCCCTGGACATGGATCGTGCAGGAGACTCGTCGTCTTGGTCACGGTCCTTGGTATACTGGTTCCTCCCCTTTCCCCTCTTGTTAGCCCGAGCTCCTCTCTTATGAGAACTGCTGGCTGTCGGATGGGCCGGAGGAGGAGTTCCTGGGGCTTGGGCGACAGAAGGCGACTCCTCCTTGCTTGGAGATTCCGCTGGTTTTAGCGACACTGCTTTGGAAGCTGCCAAGGGCATCTCTTCGGAAAGATCAGAGTCTAAGTACGACAGGTCAGTAACTTTGCTGTCCGCGCACGAAGCCCAGGAAAGAAAAAAGACTTACCCTCTGCCCTCCGGCGCTCTGCCCGCCCTTTGCGCTTATTTGCGGCTTCCTGTCGTTGACGTTCTCTATCCTCTTTCTCCGGCTTTTCTCTCGGCTGTTGGTTGTTCTTCGATTTCTTGGCCCCATTGCGAGTTTCCGTCTCATCGTCCGACACTACTTCATCTACAGGTTCTTGTTTCTCGGCGGGTGGTGAGGGCGACCGAGAACTGGTGCGTTGGCGCTTAATGCTGCTATTGTTGTTATTGCTGCGGGCGTCAGCCGTGTACTAAGTAATACATTATGAGAGGCAAACAAACTCTTCACTGTCACTGCGACCGCGCTTTGCACGCCTTGTAGCACCTTCCACGGTTTCGAGCGTGTTGTCTTCTTTGCTTGCCTCTATCGCCCGACGTAACTGTTCGTCATCGTAGGCTGCATCGCGGCTATTCATCGTAGATCGTCGTTTTGACGACTGTGTCGCAGTGCTTGGTCGGGAGTTTTTGGACGATCCATTCTTGTCGTCTTTGGCAATAGATGTCGCTCGTGAGGTGGCGCGGGAAGCGCGATTCAATGGGAGATATTTGGAATATTTTTGTCTTGAGAATCATCATGATTAGTCTTGAAGATTTTTGGTATTCAAATGCGTGGTCTGTGATGTGTGCGATGTTGGTGGGTGTGAAAACCCTTGCGCACCAAGCTCGACCGACTCGCAGCAACAACCATTTGGAACCATTTGCACAAGGCCGCGCAGAGTTCAATTGGCCACGCAACAGCAATAGGGTCGCTTGCGAAAATAGGGACATGAAGGGACTCACCCGTTAGCTGCTGTATGGATCTTGTGAAGATCCTTGCGGCACTGCTCACAAAAATATTCATCGGGAGAGCTTTCAGCACTGAATATGCCAACACACGCCCCGTGTTGCCAGACCTTGCAAATGTCGCATTGGACAAAAAAGCCAGTAACTTCGTCGGTGAGATCAATAGCTGCAAAAATCTCGGCGTCGGGGCTGTCAACGGGGGGAGGGCCAGGGTAGTCTTCCGAGCCACAAAGGCAGCGGACTGCCTCGTCCTCGTCGTCCTGAAGGTCGTCACTACCATTGGCCATGTCTGTAATTTCGCTCCGGGAATTTCGGTCGGTGTCGTCGTTTTGACCGCGTTTGCGTCTCCTGCCTAGGAGGGTGTCGTCGAAGTCGTCGAGCGGCTCTGAAGAGAGCGAGGCGCTGGGAGTAGATTTTTCCGACGAGGGCTTATTGACTGATCTGGTGCTTCGTTCCAGGCGCCCAGATGTCCCCGATGACGAGGACGACTGTTGGGACTGGGAATTGGTCGCGCGGGCTCTCGAGGATCGCCGCGGCGACGGTGGTGCCATTGAACCAAGAGATGGCTCTGGAGGGAAGCGAGGAGGGCAGGGGAGAGCACCGCTCGCAGAGTGTTGTTGCAGGCGAAGAGGGTGCAGAAAAGAGATTGGAAGTGTTCGGAGCAGCGCTATGAAGGTAATCTTGCGTGGAATTGGTGGGTTGAGTAATCGGCCAGGCTGATGGCTGGGTTGTCGCTGGTGCCCCGGGCCAGACACCTGCAGCAAGGACGAGTGCGAGCTGGTCACGACGAGGATGGCGTGGGGAAACAGCAGCGAGTAGGTAGAACGGATTGGTGAGCTGTCATGACGTAGTAGGGCAGAGAACGAAGCAGCGTGCTCGCGGCAAACGACAAGATCGTGAAGGAGGGCAGGAAGAAAGAAAGAAAGCGAGACGGACGGCAGGCGGCTGGAGGAGGGCCGGCGCTGTGGTGCTCTTCGCTTCTCTGCGCTCTGCTGCTTGCCCTCCTGGTCTTGGCCGCCCAGTTGCTGGCACTGGGGTGTTTTGCGCGCAATGGGGCCGACCTTGCTGGGGACGGCGGCGGCACGACCAGGCCGTGGCTGCACTGAGTCTCCGGGCCGCTGACCTGACCATTGGCTCGATGAGTCTGGTGCACGCAGTAGCAGGCCGGCCAGACCCTACGCACACTCACTCGCCTGCATCGTGGGACGTGGTGCCTCGAGAGAAGCTAGGGCAGTGTATCGGGACTTGAGACCTAAACAGTACCATGCCTTGAACGGTGGGATTTAGATACGCCGTAGGTTCCGTCTACATAAGCCCTGTTTGCTTGGACATGGTTGGGCGTGGTCAGCCGTCCACTGCAGGCAAAGGCTCGGCTAATCCAGCACTGTACGGAGTACTGTACGGACATGGAGGG